ACGAGTTTCACCGTTGAACAAATAGTAATTAGTGACTAAATGTTAAATTTCTTCTGCATGTAAAATAGACGGATCAAATCTATCCTGTCCAAAAGCTTCAAACAACCATACATTTCAACATAGCGATTCAGCCATAAGGGCTGCAATCTAGAGTAACTACATTGATGTTATCGGCGACAACTTTTTTCAAAACTGACATCAAGCCCTACGCTACTCTATTAATTACAAGACCAGTGCATATCAAAAATATCAAAACTTGAAATTTTTGATGCTGTTTAAATTTTTAATCTCATCAGAACTCTAATGTCACCTATGAAATTAAAAAACTAAAATTAGCGAGTTAAACATCCAAATTCAAATGATACTTTTGGTTGATTCAAGAATTACTCAGAGCAAGTAATTAATGAAAAGTATCGTAATTTTGCTAGTCTTTGACCTTAAAACATGGAGTTTATACGATTCAACAAAAAACTTGTATCAAAGGCAAACTCGACCACTCGTACATAATTTAATTGACTTACATGTCTTAAGCTTCTCTCACTTGCAACTAAAGATGCCACTTGCACAGATATCAAATGATCAAGACATCTTTTCATAACTACTCCAGTAATCTTAAGATGCCAAATTTTAAATGTTCAAATACAGAAATCTTCGCGCTATCTACATATACTTTATTTGTTTGTTTGCGTATTTTTGTTTATTCAACATGTAATAGAATTTGGCAGATCTGAACATCTTAGTTAATTATCTGCAGCAATTGACATAAAACAAAAATTAGGGTTTTGCGATTTGTCCATAGTTCACACGTTTTAGTTTTAAGCTAAATCTATTGCCGAAAGCAATTTATCTATCAAATTAGAAGTAGTACATTGTTCCTTCTATTTGCACATAGTTTGTCGTTTTATCAGTATATCATTTTATAGAATTTCAACAAAGTTTCACAGAAAACTATGATCCTAGAATTTGAAACATACCACAGTTGTGAGAAAATTTGAATATAAAATGGAGCTTTAGCACGCTTTTAATCTTGGAACATTTATGATAGAGAATTTTTTACCTCAAATATAATTCTGATCATGCACTGACATTAGTAGACAAATGTATGAGGGGTGCTCAATTGTTTTTGAAATTAGCAGATTATTGTGAATTAAGACACAAAATAAATACATTTCGCATTTTAATTTGTAGATTTATATGGCCTTTACACCTTCAAGATACTACTACGGATGGAAGTATTTTTCAAGAGAAATACATACTAATAGCTTGAATATTAATTATCGCTTTTAACTCACGTAATTGGTTGAGAAATATGATATATTGATTTTATAGAAATATTGCAAAAATTTATAAAAGTATGAACTCATCACATGCCTATTTGATTATATGGGTGAAAATTGCGCTTTTTTGATTGCGCGTGCGGGGATTCCCGGATGAGTAGATCCGGGAACTCCGGTGGTATTTTATACCTTGAAACTTCATTTAGGTGGGACTTCGAGAACTTACGTACAATGCTAAGCGAAACTTCAAAAGGTTTGAATATAAGTGGTTGTATCTGCAGAGAAAAGAGGTGAAATTTGTACAATGTTTTAAGATGCTGTTGAAAATTTCGAGACTTGGATCTCACAACTTAACATATAATAGATTTAGCTAAAACTTAAAGTTCTTGCTGTTTTGAGCATTCTTCGTCAATTTGAGACAGTAGAACTTTTTACCCAGAGTTCCAGAATTGGTAGTATCATTTGTGGAAAAAGAGGGGAAAATTTATAGAAATGAAAGTGTACGTCATATGTTTGAGATCTGGATCTATTAAACTAAGATCTGATAATTATATACGAGATTAAGGTATGAAATCTGACCAAATCTGAGATTCGGATTTCCCAACTTGATATCTCTGTTTTCATGATGTTTGAGCCCTCTTCGTCAATATGAGATCCTTAATAATCGATTAGCTCTTGATGTGCACTTATTTATCGTATTAGTATAACCCCGTACTGACAACATGATAACAAATTAGGAGAAATTTAGTATATATATGAAAACTTGATTCCAGCATAACATAATAGCACGAGTTAGTATAACAAAAACTTGGATTTAGCATATCAAAAAGCGTAAATTTAGCATAACAAATAATCTCGATCTAGCATAACAAAATACCTCGATCTAGCATAACAAAATACTAATCTAGCATAACAAAATACCTTGAGATTTGCATATCAAAAAGCTTAGATTTGGCATAACAAAATACTGAGATTTGCATATCAAACAGCTAGATCTAGCATAACAAAATATCTCGATCTAGCATAACAAGATACTAAGATCTAGCATAACAAAATACTCAGATATAGCATAACAAAATACTCAGATCTAGCATAACAAAATACCTCGATCTAGCATAACAAAATACCTCGATCTAGTATAACAAAATACCTTGAGATTTGCATATCAAAAATTTTGATTTAACATAGCAAAACACCTAGATCTAGCATAACAAAATACATTGAGATTTGCATATCAAAAAGCTTAGATTTGGCATAACAAAATACCTCGATCTAGCATAACAAAATACTAAGATCTAGCATAACAAAAGACTGAGATTTGCATATCAAAAAACTAGATCTAGCATAACAAAATATTCAGATCTAGCATAACAAAATACCTCGATCTAGCATAACAAAATACCTTGAGATTTGCATATCAAAAATCTTAAATTTGGCATAACAAAATACTGAGATTTGCATATCAAAAAACTAGATCTAGCATAACAAAATATCTCGATCTAGCATAACAAAATACTAAGATCTAGCATAACAAAAGACTGAGATTTGCATATCAAAAGACTGAGATTTAGCATACCAAAATACCTAGATCTAGCATAACAAAATACATTGAGATTTGCATATCAAAAAGCTTAGATTTGGCATAACAAAATACTAAGATCTAGCATAACAAAATACTAAGATCTAGCATAACAAAAGACTGAGATTTGCATATCAAAAAACTAGATCTAGCATAACAAAATATCTCGATCTAGCATAACAAGATACTAAGATCTAGCATAACAAAATACTCAGATATAGCATAACAAAATACTCAGATCTAGCATAACAAAATACCTCGATCTAGCATAACAAAATACCTTGAGATTTGCATATCAAAAATCTTAAATTTGGCATAACAAAATTCTGAGATTTGCATACCAGAAATAATCAATCAACTGGCTTCAAAAGGAGTTGAACAAGCAAGCTTCACAAGCACTATCGTAGCACTGACCACTATGCCATTGGTAAATCAAGATCTGAGTGAAGATTATCTAAAAAAAATTGGCCCGAGATCTCCAGCCGAACCCGAATGTTTTGAAATGCAATTTACCGACACGACATTAATCATAGTTATATACAATTTGAAACTCTTGTTTAATGCTTTCGTACAATATATCTTCATTTCTTCAGTTAATATCCGTTGGTAATGCAAATGTATAATTCAAAGCATGCTACTGTATCACTTTACTTAATCAATTCAGGATCTCCTATTGTTCAATTAATAATTTGAACGTTTTGCAAAATTATTGGTTCTTTGTCCATCACACGTCCGCTAGAACTCTCCAGAATCATTGTCGGTAACAGAGGCAGGTTTATGAGTATCACGAAACTTATTAAGTCCTTTCTTTCTTTATTTAACGAGTTTATTTGATAAAAATGGCTATTAAACTATCTATGGCTATTTCTCCATCAATTTGTAGTAATAATCAACCAATTTTTGATGTAATAATTGTTGTAGCTAAAACTTTAGATCCTAGATTCACCCGATGCTGATTTACTTGCCTTTGAAGAAGCTGGAAAATCTTTTCATAACTACTTTCAATTTTCTGCGAACCCGAAACAATTCCAACAAAAGCTGAGATTATCTTACTCCCGTGACTCTTCTAATACATTCAAACTATCCCAAAAATTGCTTTTTAGCCTTTCATAGTTGTTGAGTCGAAGTTTAAAGATGTATATGATCACCTTCCCGAATTTGTACCTTTGCTAAAATCTTTAAATTTGCCGGTTTTTAGTGAATTGAAGAATAAGTAAGTAAATAAAAGGCAGTCATAATTGTTTGCCGTACTTATTTGCCATCATTTTGATATAGCATTGATGTAAAATTGAAGTCCTTGTCGTAGTTGTTGAACTAATGAAGTACATAAAGTAAGAATTTCATGATTTTAATTCTGAATTTGATAAACTAATCAGTAGAGTTTGTGTCGTGTCGTCGATCATTGAAATAATTCACAAAAACTTGACATTATAGGAAAATGCATCGGTGACTTGCAAATACTTTTGTTTCAAATATAGTAATGGCTAGAAGGGTTGTGATTTGGTCTTTGATCTGTGTTAGTTCAAGCTCATATAAGGTTTTCAATTGAAATTATTGATTCCATTATTCCTCCAACACTGACTAAATTTATATAAATTTGCAGCTAAATAACGCAAATCAAGTAAATTTCAATTAACTAATTGACTACGATGAACACAATTGTAAACTTTTCAGATTCCAGATCAGATCCCAGGGGCCCATTGTACCTTGAATCTAGATTAGATCAGTTTAAAATCTTAAATATAACAACAACAGAACTACAATACTTACAAAATCTAGATAATAGATATGTTAAATCTAGATTTGAGATCATCAGATCCATCTACAACATTACACCAATACTTACAAAATCTAGTTATGCAATATCAGAGATACAACTACACAATACTCAATTTGGGCTTGAGATCCCAGTACCGCCGTAAATCAGATCCCAGTTACAACATTACTACAATAGTTAAACTCATTTGAGATCCGATGAAAACTTGGATCGAGATTTGAAACACTTCCAAACTGCCATATATTATCGACTACAAAGATAGAGAATTGTTTTAAAATTAATAAGTTGAGAAATTTTGAGAAAAATAAGTAAAAAATTTAATAAATGAATATATAAATCATTATGTATTATCATGTATTTATCATTATTAAGTATTATTAAACATTTCCTTTTGAGAAGCTTCAAAATTCAAAGCTTGATTTTTAAAATCATCAAGTGAAAAAATTCTATTTTGATTTGAAGTTTTCAAGTAATCAAACAAGTATTTGAGTGCTGGTTCAACTCTGTAGTCAAAAGTAAACATTCCTCTATTAAAATCAAAATCATATGAATGGTTTATATTTGTCAAGTATTCTTCTTTTACATTTTGATTGTTTTCATATTTTGATCTATATTGTTGAATTCTTACTTTTTGACTATGATTTTCATGTTCTATCATCTTCTTGAATGTATTGGTTTTGGCACTTATATGATTACAAAACTCAATAAGCACCGGGTAGTTGTAAATATTGACAATTGTGTTGATACTAAAATTACTAATCATAACTTCCTTGAAATCGATCTTCGGATGTTTCAACATTGCAATGTCTCTTATAGATTCCTTACCGAAATCATGATCAGCTTTTATAGATTCAATATATTTCTCACCTTGTTTTAAAACTGTATCAGCAGACATATAATGAGATAATATTTGTTGTCTTGAATTGAAAAACTTAACTACTCTAACCAATTTAGCCGCTAAATTTGATAAGAAATGGAATTGAGTTTCATCTTGGATTTCATCTCTCAGAAAATCAAATAATTTATAATCTAGATCAAATTGTGGATATATTGTATTCCAAGTATCAACTAAAAAAGTACCTCTTATTATAGGAAATACATTCGCTAAAGCTTTAGCAACAGCAATGTAAAATAAATAAAATGCTCTTTTCAAAGGTGTCATATCTCTCCCAATTGAAATTGCATGACTTGGAATTATAGTTAACCATTTATTAATTAATTCATAAAATAATGAAGGTGAAAAATATTTTATACTTTGTGAGTGACCATGCAAGTTATTCTTTGATTTATAATATTGATCAATGTACAAAAATCTTGGGTACAAGTTTTCACTTAAATCTTTTAGAAAGTTTTCAAATTCAACAAAATATTTCAAAATATATCCATTACTTGAAGACGTTAAATTTGTATTATAATTTATAAACTTCTTAAAAATTAAGAAATTTTCACTTAACTCAAGCAACACATCAAATTTATAATCAGGTATAACACAAGCAGAAGTATGATTTCTTAAAGCATGCAAAATGAAATTAATTGAAGGACCAACATTTTGTATAATTTTATATTCATTAAGACAGTTCCATAGTAATGATGCAGAACCAGCATGGAACAAAATCCCAGCTTTTGCACTTGCTTGAGAATGTAAGAACAATGACCATCCAGCGTACCATGATATTAAAGTTGTACCTTTAATTTCAGAACTTCCAACAGATTCTCTTAATTCTTTAATAAGTTTACCAAAATATGAATATGATTTTTTTGTTAAAATTTCTTGAATTTTGGGTGTGAAACAAGTAACACTACTACTTGATGTAATGGAATGATTACAAACTTTTAATATAACATTTAATGCTCTATCCAAAAAAAGTGAAAAGAATATATTTTCCAAATTAAATGCTCTGTTATAAACATCTCCCCATAATTCTTTACTATTTTGTTTCAACCATTCTGGATTTGTTTCCAGTAATGGCATTTCAAATTTGTACTTCGTTTTACTTTTCAGAAACAACGGTTTATAATGATCAGGATGTTTCAAAACTTTAAAAGTAGTGGTTGATATGAGTGCATCAGGTAATGGTTTGCCAACAATCGTTCCATCAAGTGAATCAAAACTATGATCTGAATTTTTTTGATAAATATCTATACCAAAATGTTGAGCAAAAATAGATTGTGATTGTTCAAAACTATCAACTGAAATAGCATCAGAATCAATAGATCCTTTTTTGATTAATGTTGGATCAAATTCTTTTTCGATATCAACAGTTGAAAGTTTTCTTTTCTTGTTGGTTGAAATAGGTTGGTTATCCATATAACTATCGGAAAAATATAATTCATGACGACTTGTTGATATTTTTTTAATAGAATCTCTATAAACTGCTAAATTCAAATCTTGATCCATTATAGGTACTTCCAAAAACACAGATAAATCTTGATCTTTTGAAAATTCAAAAATATTTGGTGGAGACTTTGTTGTACCATTTTGATTAGGAATATAAGAAGGTTCATAATTTGTGAATAATTGTATTGTATTATTGGGAGTTTCTGAGTATGGTGAAGAATCTAGTGATGACATTGATTGATTGTTGACTGGTGGTGTAATAATTGAACCCATGTTTGCAAATAATTCTGGTGATTCCGGATTTAATAAAGATACTGGAGTTTTTCCATTGTTTTTCAAAAAATCAGATGATTTTTTAATGTCTGAGCCTAAATAGAGGATATTAGGATTAGATGAAACATCACTTTCGGGTTTAGACTCTTCTTGAGTAGACTTGGATTGAGTTTGTGGTAATGAATCTTCAGGTTTGATCTTCTCAGCAAATGATTCTTTAGCCCCAGGCCCATTTGATGGTCGTAAATTGTATGAACTTTGTAATGATTGATAATTTTCAGGTTTTTCAGATGGTGGAGTTGGGTGATTTAAAGATGAAATCTCTGATTTTACGGATGGTTTGTTGTTTAATGATGATAAAGGTGGATTCAATGATGTAGGATTTGTAATTTGATTTGTGGATATTCGACGTATAGTATCCAGACCATTTCCATGATAATTTAGATTTAATTCTAGTGGTTGTTGTAGTTGTGGATGAGGTTGATATTGAGGTTGATACAGTGGTTGTGGTTGTGGTTGTTGTTGATGCTGTTGTTGATGTTGTTGAAGTTGTTGGTGTTGTTGATACAATTGTTGATGCTGTTGTAAAGATGCAAATGAGCCGTTTGGACTCTTTCTTGATATTTGTTCATTATGTAGTAGTTCCTCTTGTCTTGGATTATAAATATTTCCAGTTGGGTAGTTATAGTCATTATTGATAGGAGTTAATGAAGGTTCTTTTAAACTCGATGAGTATTCATTCGATGTTCCACCATTTTCTTCCATAGATTTTTTCATATTTTTATGTCTTATTTTCTCGAGTTTATCTTTTGGAAAATCCAAATAACCACATCTATAATTTTTTTTAACACAATTATGACAAGATGGTAACTCTTCAGTACATTTTATTCTTTTTTGTTTACAATTTGGACATCCATCACGAGAATTTTTATGAGTTCTTCTACTTTTCCTTTCTTTTAACTTGGATTCAGTAAGTAGTTGTGTATGAGCCGTGGGCATATTTGGTTGAAATAAATGTAATGGTTGATGATGCTGATGTTGATGTTGAGGCTGATGTTGTAGTGGCTGATTATTGTTATGATGATGAGGTGGTATCATAGGACCTTGAGGTGGTGGTTGAGGTGGATGAGGTTGTTGATGATGAAGATGTGGAGAATAATGATTTGTTGGATGTGGTTGATTTAAAGGATGATGAAAAGTCAGTGGAGGTTGAAATTGTTGATGTAAAGGAGGTAATATTGGGGGAAGATCAGATCTTTGTTGTCTATGATTTAATAAAGGTGGTTGAGGTTGTAATTGTTGTTGATCGTGCGGTCGAAATATATTATTCGAATTATAACTATTATTATTGTGATTATGACTTAAATTATCATTGTTTGGAGACATGTTGATTCATTTATAATTTTTAATTAGTTGCTATAGTAGGTTTTGCAGTATTAAACACAGTTTTAACTAGTTATCTTGAACTAATTTCTTTAGAATATTCTATGATTTTGATTGAAAAAATGAACAAAAAAAAAAAGTAACTTGATAAATAAATTATTATAACACAAATGAAAAGAACTGAATATCTAATAGATGAAATGGATGAATAAATGTATTAATGAAATTTTAAAAAAAGTATCAATGTTGAATGAATATTTAGACTAAACTAGTTCTATAAATTAAATTTTTAGTCGTATTTCTTAATTTTAAATTATGGAATTTTAAATTTAAATAATAATAATCTTTTTGATTAAATTTATTTTTTTTTCTTTGTTTTAATTTACTTGAAATGCTACCAATCACGTTGATTTTTTTATTTTTTTTTTGGAGTGGACGCAGTTAAGAGATTTGTTTAAACACGGAAACACAAAATCTATATATTTCTATTAAACTACAACTTCATAGATTTAGACAGAAACACTTCATATCGATAGAGAAATTAGATCTCGTGTCTGATAGATCTTTATGTCTTGAAACCAACAAGCTTGTTTGGGAAAATAGGGGTCAAATGTCGGTATAAAAAATGACGTATTTTTTTTCAATTTCGTCATACATAAAATTTCGTAAGTTAAATAAATTATTATAACTACAATTACCCCTTAATTTAAAGTTGTTATATAATAAATATTCTTTTTGACAGTTTATAATATATCAAATATTAATATTTTCTTAGCAAAAGCTACAAAACATCAGGTCTAGATCAAAACTCTACGAAGGTTATATGAATTAAAAATTAAACGAATAAATTATTAATAAACTATAAACAATATAAAAATTATATTTAACATGTAATAATACCGAGTTGGAAAATTTAAAGAAAAATTATTAAATTAAATTAAAATGTGATAAATTGAAATTATTAATTATTATGAAAAAGCAATATACCAAAGTATGAACCAAATTATTGAACAACTTCTGGGTAGAAGTCACCAATAATTAATTTTTTTATCTTTTTTGTTCATTTTTTTTTGAATACAAAAATCATTAAAAAACAAACTAGACCCACTAAGAAAACCTAAACTCTAATAGCTTCTTCATAAGTAGGAGGAGGACCAGTAAATACAATTTGACCCTTATCATTATAAGTAGCATTAGAATCACTAACATCAACACCATTTTTCAAAGCTTTGTTTATTTCAATTTCAGCTAATCCCATTGGATCTTTTGCAATCCATATATGAGGTTCTTCTGCAGAAACTGCTGGATCATCATAAGCATGTCTTATAAATTCTGAATTATATTCAATATAATTAAAATATGAATTTGGCATTATATTTCTTATCATATCAAAAGTTTGAGATTTAGGTTTGAAAAAGATTTTTAACCATGATATTCCTTTACCTGGTGCACCTGCTACACCTTTTGCTGCACCTTCTGCAGTATTTAATGGACCATTATGACCACCTGCTTTTTCTGGATCAGCACTATTTGGTTGTTGATTATCAAATGGACCAGTAGCTGATTTAGCATCTCTACTAAATTCTTTTTCACTATCAATTTTACCAACTTTTGTATCAATAGCTGAAGAATCTGATCCACGATGATCATATACAGTTGAACCACCATCGATTGCTGAAGCTGTACGTGGTGAAGTTGCAGATTCTAAAGGATTTCTATATGGTACAACTTGATCTTTTATATCAGCACCATTTAATCCCAATTGATTACCACCTTCCCAATAATTTTTACCTTCAGTTTGAATTTCTTTATAACCTTGATCATACATTGGATAAGTATATGTTGAATCACCAGCTGCATATTTAATAGCTGAAATTGGTACTGCATAAGAGACAGTTAAAAATCTTCTTTGCATCCAAAATTTAGCAACTATTGTAACAATGATTATAACAGCTTCTAATGCTACACAAGCCCAATTTTTAGTAAAAACAAATAATGCAGTAATCCATAATTGAGCCAAGAATAAACCAGTAAATAATTGGAATAATGAATTAACATAATTTTGACCTCTTGCATCGACTTGACTTGGTTTCATAACATAAACAAATGTATAAATATAAGCAAAATAGAATAAAATGAAAGCAATTGCTGTAAAACCCAAGATTAATGGAGCAATAACAGAATAAGATAATGCAATAACTGTTAATAATTGGAAATTTGGATATAATACTTGGAAACCAGGTTGTCCTAAAGTGTTCCATCTAACCCATTTTTGTCTTGGAGTACTATCTAAAACTCTACCTAATATTTTGGATAAAATTAATGGAACTAATTGTAACAATACACCAGAACTAATAGTTAAACCTTGTAAACATAAATAAGAATAATAGAAATTAACTGATGGTGGGAATCTTTGAGATAATTGTTGCATAGCTGAGCCTGGATCTTTTACAATTTCTTGAGCAACTGAAGCAGCTGATGAACCTAAAGCAATAGCTAAAAATACGTTAACAATTTGAAAAGCATAAAACCAAGATTGACAATATTCATTAACTTGTTGAACTGTTAATTTACCTGAAATTCTACCCATCCATTGAATAACTGGTGGAACTAATGACATTAATATGGATAATGCAACAACTGGTAATAAACCTGTAATAACACCCATAATAACACTTGGCATATTATTTATAAATTTTAAAAATGGAACTTTTTCAGTTAAGAAATTAATATTTGAAATAGCACCAACAACAGCAACTGGAATACACCAGAAAATAATCATTAAAGTCAAAAAAGTATTTGCTAAAATACTTTTAATTCTTCTTTGCATTGGAGTCAATTGTAAATTTTTCCAAATAATATCATCAGGTGCAGCACCAGTAACACTTTTAACACCTTTAAATTCTTTATTATATGGAATAGCTTGATAAGCTTTTTGTAATTCTAATTGTGAAGGAAATTCAATGAAAACTGCAGGTAATTGTTTATTTGTTGCATATTCAGCTTGTTGTTTTGAAACAGTTTTATTTAATTCACCTAAATGTTCAGCACCATAATTTAAAGTATCAACTTTTTTACCAATAATTGGTTTTAATTTATGAGTTGGTCTTTTTTTACCATCTTTTAAATATTTATCTAAATCATCAACTGGTTCAGGTACTGGTTTTTTCTTTTTTATACATTTATTTCTTAATTTAACAGCTTTTGTAATAACTTTATTCAACGCACCTTCATATTTTTTAGCTAATTTATCTCTTTCTTCAACTTCTTTATCTAATTTTTTATAATCTCTACCATACCAAATGTTAGTAGCAGTTGGAAAATAACTTCTTAAATTATCATCAGTTAATTTTTCAGTTGATATTTCAGTAAGTAATAAGGTTCTTGAACTCAATAATGAATCATATAATGGAGTAGTTTGTAAAACATGTCTGTAAGTAGTATAATAAACTAATTCACGATAAATTAAAAACAATACAGCACCAAATAAAATCCATGATAAAAATACGTGAGCAAAAGTTCTCCATTTATTTCTAACATTAGCAATAGTTAAAATATCAAATCCTGCAACAGTTGAACCTGGTTGATTATTATTACCATTTGTTGCATTAACTGGAAACAAAATTGGCCAAGTAATAATAGCACCCAATAAACAAATACAACAAAATTCAAATAAAAATCTTAAAAAGAAATAACCATCAGTACCAGCATATTGAATAATATAAGTTTCAGGTTTTGATAATAAAGCAGTTAACCAACTAAATAGACCAGTTGAAGGTTGTTGTGGTCTTAAATCTTCTGGGACTGATTTAACAGTTGATCTTGGTTCATAAACTCTTTTTTGAGTTTTACGTATAGCAACGAATGCTATTAAAAATACAACTGATATAACTAAAGTTGGAACTAAAGTTGATACAAATTGAGATGCAGAACTATTTGATGATTGAGCATCAGACATTATTTCCTCAAAGTTGTTGTAATATCAATTGAAGTAGTAAAATATAATATTATAATGATAAATTAAAAAAAAATTGAATCTTTTAAAAAATTGATTTGAAATCTTGTTTGCTATCTAAGATGTGATTTGTTTTGATTTAGATTGTAGTATTTTGTGTAACTAGTAGTTGATAAGTTCAATTGGTTTGACCTGTCGAATCAATTGAATTTAAAAAATTGGTTGCAATTTATAGATCTAATCAAATGTTGTAAAACTTTAATTGAAAATGAAAAAAAAAAAGTTATATAAAAAGTGATCAAATAATTAAATGAAGTAACTTTTGAAATATTATATATATGATTGTTTATTTTTATAATAATAGAATAAAAAATAGTTAGTGAAGGAAATTTAAAATATTTAAACTGAAATTTTAAAAATGGTTACAAATAATATTTTAATCAATTATACATTAAAATTTATACATACATACATACATACACTTAACAAATGTTTAAAGGAACACAAATTATAAATTAAAAATAACAACTTTAAAGAAATATTCTGTAGAGATCAGCCGTGTATAGAATAATATTAATTCAATTTCAAATTTGTGTATGACTTGTGTATGACTTATTATAATATTTTATCATATTATAAAGATTATGACATAATTAAGTAACTATTATTATAAGTATTATTAGAACTTACTCCAATTTCTTAATGAAAGGAGTAAAATATGAAAAAAGCTTACTTAATTAAAGTCATCCACAAATTGGTTCAAATCATCAAACTGTAAAACATATATTTCAATAAATATTAAACTTTTAAATTGGGGATAATAATTTAAAACATCAATAAAACAAAATCAGGGTCGAACTCGAGGAAAGGTTTTTACACTAAATTATTTAAAAATCCAAAAATTATAAAATTAGCAAATATATAAATTCAAAATTTTTTTATTAGTCAATTACATCATTATTTTTTATATCAAAGATTTTCTGGTTAAATTTTTAAATTTAAAATTTCATGTGGTCTTTATTTCCGAAAATAAATTTCTTTTTAAATTCCATTAATTTTGTGTCATATTGAAGTTGAAATCAAATGTTGGCGGGAGGTTGAAAATGTTGTAGTATTGAATAAAGTGAACAGAAGAGTTTATCAAAAATCTTGCCAGCTATCCATAAATCTTGAAACTGAATCTTTCTACTCACTAACAAATCTATAGTGAGTTTCAAGATATGAGACAACTTTATTTATAAAATTAAGAATTCATATTAATTTATCCGTTAAAAACACTGGTAACACAAAACCTAAAAAGTATAAAAAGAACACAAATTCAAATTCAAAACACCAAATTATAAACTATAAAGTTCAAACAACAAATGAATCTAAGACGCGAAATCATAGAATTTGATTATTTGTGTTGTATTTCATCTTGACGATCACACTTTAAAATTTTCAATTACTTTTTTTTGAAAGCTCAAGATGGCCAGATATTCAGTCAAAACGCGTATTGTCATCAGCCAAACTTTGAGAGGGAGCACAAATAATGATTACTGACTAGCTTTGTTCGTTAAATTAACTATGAGTGTTTTATCATATGAAAAAATAGTAAATTATGTATGTAACTATTGCTTTTACAGGCTTTGAAATAATTTAAATGTATCTCGTCTATCATAAAGTTCACATCTTATCTAAATTTGCTTTTACATATAAAAAAAATATACTACAGCCTTGGGAATAAAAAGAGCATTTCTACAAATCGTAATTTGGGCTCATATTAATACACTGTACTTTTTAACTCAATAATCTTATAACGAAAATGCAACTAATTTAAAATATTTTTTTAAATTTGCTGTTTTGCTTTAAAATTAGGTCCCTGGTTTCAAATCGAAACTTTAAATTTAAGATTGAGCTTCAATTTCAATTTGAGAACTGTTTGTGCCTGTTTCACTTTATCGAAGTCAAACTCAAACTATTGGCAACATAGCCTTTCTTTTTTAATTAATACTCAACAAATCAAATATTTTTCTGTTAGTCAACATCTGTTTGTAAGTTCAATTAAAGCAATTGAGTAACTTAACTCATGTCGTTTTATGCCCCATGGGGCCAAACCTTTTTAAATTTACTATGGTAGACAGCAATTGTATTACTGTTCTTGTCATCTCAAAATTTGTCCTCGGAAAAATAAAAAAAAAAAAAGATTCGATTTCGAATTCGTATATTTGTTTCAAGACTCAAATTAGTTTGAGTTACATCATAGATCAAGGTAAACTCTATTTTAGACAATTTTTTAAGTTGGGCTTTCTTATAATATGTCTAATTGTAGAACTAATGTGAATCATGAAATTGATATTAATATTTGAGTAGTGAGCGTTTTTTTTCTGCAAAGATTGACATTTTTTCGCATCAATCTTGGTAAAAATCTGCGACCATTAATCGTGGAAAAGAATATTCAGCAAAACCATCCCCACCTGCTCTTTTCTTCAATCAGAAAAGAAATTTATACCCCCACATAAAACCTCCAATTCAGATTCAGGCACCAGATCAGATTTCGATTCAAATTTTGAAAAATAGTTGCAAAAAACTCAAAATTTACACAAATCTTTTGTCTGGTCGCGATCTTAAAGTTTAAGACAATCACCTTCTTTTAATAATTCTTTCAATTGACTACCCAATTAGGAAGTCTAGAAAGCTGTGTCTAGTCGAAACTTTGAAAAAATGACAATGTGAGGCACTAAAAGCTGAATTGCAGTTAATTACCGCATAAGGAAGTCTAAAATTGATGTCTAGTCGTAAAAAATACAACTCAGACATTAAAGTTACCCGGATATTGCAAAAGTAACCCTCGGCTATTTACAGTTTTACAGCATATTACCCAATTAGGAAGTCTAGGAAGTTTCAGTCTTTCAAGGAACGTAGACATGTATCGAAGGTGTTTTGTAATTGTCAAACGCCTCTGAATACATTTCGAATCTAATAGGTGTCATTTTATTGTTTGTAGATTGGATCAATGAATATTTTTGTAGCAATTCAAATTTCTTAAATACAATTTATATCAAGTCTAAATTTTTCAGACAGATTATTGTTTAACTTAAACTACCGCAAATACAATGAACTTATTACAAATCATCGTATTCTTGATTACCTCTTTTTTCACTGAAGTTTGTTGCTTTCAGGACTCCATTTTATCAAATGATTTTCAATTCAAAGATTATGAAGAGATTCACAACTTCATAAATGAGAACTCAAATACTAATAATATTTTACATTATCAAAACTTGAATGATTTGCAAGAAAATTTAGAAGACCTTTATACCTACAGAAATTTAACAAACTCAGTAGTATTATTTCATTTAATTGACGATGATCATTATTTAATTCCAGAAATAAATCAATACCCCACAACAAACTCAGATTCAGATTCAGGCACCGATTCGAATTCAGATTCAGATTTTGAAAATAGTGTTGCAAAAAAACCTCAAGTACCACAAAATTGGATAGAATTTTATGCAACAAATATTCAACAACTAATAGATCCAAGAGGTATAGAAATCCAAACGTTAAGTACAGTGGATAGTGTATATGCACGGGGAGAAGTTGCATACTCATTGGGTCAATTAAGAAGAGTTGCAACTGAATATGATATGAATGCTTCATTATTTTTAGGTTTAAATATATTCATTGGAGGATTAGTTGGATTTAGATTTGCACCAGAAATAGATTTTAGTAATAGTTTTTCTACATTTTATACTTGCCCAGTTACTTTTGGAAAAACAGTTGTTATAAAAGTTTATCCTTATTTAACTTATTTAAATCCTCATTATAAAAATTTAAAATGGAATAGGAAAATTAAACAATTTGCAACAGCTTTTAATTTTAATAAATTAAATAAAATTAAATTATTTACTATGACTGGATTAGAAGATGTTGAATGTGTTTACCATTGAAACATACTACTATTAGCTATATGAATTTTCAAAGTAATTAAAATATAATTAATTAACAAATGTATAAATATATAAAATTACATTCTCTTCACCCACTGCCCGAGGCATAATTTGTTGTACACAATACACTCTTCTTCTCCTCACCTGAACCCTAATTCAACCTTCTTAAATATGAACTGAAGTAGAAACACCTTCAGCAGCTTCATTCAATTGAGTAGCAACATTGACATTACTTGGTTTAATATATTGTTCAGCAATTGGCTTAATAACAGTTCCATAAATAATGTTAGCACCACCAAAACCTGGAATACCAATATATAATAAAAAGATAGTTTTAAATAAATAATAAAATGGTACCCAATATAAAATTGCACTTGACCAAAATTCCAAAACATTTAAAAATGCAAAAACAACCCAATAAGTTAATAATTGAGTATCATCTTTTGATGTTGAGGTTTGTAAAGCTAATATTGAATAATAACCTGGTATAACAAATCCGGCAATATTTGATAATAATTGACCAATTCCTCCAATATTTAAAAATATTAAGAAGAAATAAACTCCGACTAGTCCTAATACAGCATAAGATCTTGGTAAACCAGTTTGAGCTTCAAAATGATTTAATAATGGGAAACCCTTGGTGCTCTAGTCAATTGAAGTTAGTATTATGTTCTAAAGTGGTAGGTTGACAAGAAAAAGCTGCAATTGAACCCACTAATCAGTTGATTTGAGCAATGAATTTTTGACAACCACAATTTCTTCAATAAAGACAATATAAACATACTCTATCAATTTCAACTAAAACTTTTTTAATTTGATCTGGAAATCCTGCCATTGTATATAAATAATTGATGATTAAGTTTAAATAAGTGTAGTATTAAATATCAATTGAGTTTGATAATAAGATAAAAATTATTTAAGGAAGGGGGGAAGAAAAGATTATTTATTTAAATTATTAGTAGAATCTCTGACAGAAAAAATATGATGGAAAATTTCATCTTTAGATTACTACACTAATTACTACCTAAAAATAGCAAACTAAAATTATTAAGGAATATCTCGATTACGTAGTTATTAATTTTAAGAGATCGAATTTTGTAGCTTCATATGTTGATTTATGCACAATTACATTAAATTTTTTACTTTCTGTACTACTATTTCGATCTTTAATGGCACGAGACTTTTATTTCTAAACAATTGTTTCAAATATGAATTAGTATGAGAATTTGAAACTACGAATAAGAAAAGATGATAAGATAATTAATATTGCCCATGAACTTTTATTGAATCCTATATGTTCTAACCGTATTATTAAAGTATTCACCAACTTTTACCGGCTATCTTTTTGCTTTTGATTTGACACTTCCTTCAAATCCTGCTCTCTTTTTTTTATTCTGTGATGATGAATTTTTCTTTTTATCAAGAATACCAGTGAACTTTCTTAATTTTGGTTTATCTTTCCTTTTCATACCTTTACTATTTTTTCTAGCTAACAAATTTTCTTCTCTTCTTTTAGCTCTTGCAGCAACAGTATCTTTAACAACTTGTTTTCTATCTCTCCATTCAATTTCACTCTTGAGTTTTTTCTTTTCCTTTCTCTTAAGTGCTTTTTTCAATAATTTTTCATTGTCTTTCACTTTTATACCTTCAGCTTGTGATATTACTCTTTGCCATTTATCCTTTTCGGTTTGTTTATTTCTTTCCTCAGGTGTCATTGAATCTAATTTTTGTTTCTTTTTCTCTAGTTTTGTTAAATGAGCTTTTATATCATTATTTGATGGACCATTTTGTTTTCTCTTGTCTGCTGATTTACGTATTGATGATAAATTTGATGTAAGTTGAGAGCCATCCAGAAATGTTATATTACCAAATAATACTGATTTATCTTCATTATCTTCATCATCTGAGTTATCTGATTTATCTGAATCATTTTCTTCTTCCTCTTCCTCTTCCTCATCTTCCATTTCTTCATGTTTTCTCTTTTGTTGTTTTGTTAATTCTGCTTTTCTTTTACGTTCGTTTAATATTTGTTCTCTTGAACTTGGAGCTCCAGCTGCTTTAGTTCCTATTGCTTTTCTTTTCTCTCGCATACTATTGATTTTTTGCTCTAATCTTTCCTTTAGTTTTGCCAAATTTTCTTGTTTCTTTTTAGCTTCTTCTTCTGATATTACTTTACTTGCTTTTTGGTTTTTCTTATCCTTTGGTGGCTTGGTGGTAGTTTCTTCTTCTTCAACTTCTATTTCATTTCCATCATCGTCAAATATTAAATTATTATTATTATTCAAATGAAAATCATCTTCCTCAGAATCTTCAGTGATTCCATTATTGCCGACTTTTACGGGTTCTTCAATTTCCTCTTTATCAATTTTCTCTTCACTTTCTTCGTCTTCCTCAGCTTCAGCTTGTTCTTTCTTTTCTTGAGCTTGTCTTGATTTATTTTCCATTACATCTTTTGCAGTTGCATAAGAATTTAAGTATTCATCAGCATTTGATTTAACGGATTGATTAAATTTTGCCTTCTTATTACGTTTTGATTCTTCCTTTGATTTCTTCTTCTGTTGCCATTGATCTTGTGTTGCATCATCATAGAAATACTTTGCAGGTATTAATGATAATAATCCATCAAATGCAGTGGAATGATCTTTTAGTCGTTCCTTTTTCTGTTAGTATCATTTATTTGTGTTAATGCATTATATATATCTTTATACATACTTCTAATGTGTTACTCATAATTATAATTGATCTTATTCACAAGACTTATAATGATCTTCCTACTAACTTAAATTTAATTTTTTTTAATAGATGAGATATTTCTTAAGTTTTTGTGTAATATTTCGTTACAAGGTAAGATTTAAGTAATTATAGGGAGATCTGATTAATTTGAGACCACATACAACATTCAAACGTATGGAATTCAACTTCAAGCTTCAAAGAAATTGGAATTGTGCTTGAATTACAACCCAAGAATGAAAATTTACATGTTGCTCACCTAGAGAGTAATTGAAGTCCCCAAATCTAGTTTATTCAAGTCGTGTACCAATTGCTAAACGTTGATATTGTGAAATTTGTAGTTGAGAGTAACGAGATAACATTCAATATTTCATCAACTTAAATTAATAAAAGTAACCAGTTAGGTTTTGACGTATATCCAAATATCATCATCAATTGCAATTAAATTATCCATTAAATGTCAACAGGAACTCAACAAGCCGTGATAGCTGATTATTTAATACTTTCTTTACCACAATCGGCCAATGGTGAACAATATTTAGAGCAATCATTAAATAATGGAAAACAACAATTATACAACCTCAAAATTCCAGATTTCCAAAGTGGAACATTAGATTCATTAGTTCAAGAAAGCGAAGAATTAAATAAAATAGATCAACAATTAGGTTCATCCGTTGCAAAAGTTATAGATATATTGAATTCAGTAAGTGAAACCAAGAGTTCTTCCAGAATTGTTCAATCTAGATCAATTTTCGATTATATTCAAAATTTTCAATGGAACTCTTCAAAATATAGATTAGATAAACCAATAAATCAATTAGTCAAAATAATTTCAAGTGAAGCAATTACTTTAGATAATGATGTTAGATCTTCTTATCAAAATTATCAAACTGCAAAATCAAATTTTTTAGCAGCTGATAGGAAAAAGAATGGAGATTTATCAATAAAATCATTACATGAAATTGTAAAACCAGAACAATTTGTATTAGATTCAGAAAATTTAGTAACTTTATTAATTGCAGTACCTAATAATCTTGTTTCAGATTTTAAAAATAGTTATGAAACTTTAACACAATTTGTTATACCAAGATCAGCAGAAATTATTGCAAAAGATTCAGAATTTACTTTATTCACAGTAACTTTATTCAAGAAATTTCAACAAGAATTTATAAATAATGCAAGAGAACATAAATGGCATCCAAGGACTGATTTTATATATAATGATGAAATGCTTAATAATTTGAGAAAAGAATTTGATATAACAAAAGCAACTGAAACAAAACTGAAAAATGAATTAATAAGATTAAGTAAAACTGCTTATTCAGATATAGTGGCTGCTTGGTTTCATATTAAAGTTATAAGAGTTTATGTTGAAGCTGTATTGAGGTATGGTTTACCACCACAATTTGATAACTTCTTAATTAAATTTGAGGGAAGTAACTTGAAGAGTGTTGGTGATGTTAAAAAACAATTAATCAAGAAATTTGGTTATTTAGGTGGTGATGGTTATTCAAATAATACTAATTTACATGAATATGCATCTTTGGTGGATACTGATTATGAGCCATTTGTAATGTATGAATTTGAAATTGTTTAAGTTTCCTAGTTTAGATTAAATAGTTTATAAAGAAGAAATAAAAAAATCACAGACAATTGGAAATTGAACTGGTTTCATATCGTAGAATATCAAATTATTTTGATGAAAAGGTTTTAAGTTACGGATTTATGACAGATATTTGGTAGCACATTAAAAAACAATCGATGTGCAGAATTTATTACACAGTAAAAATATTGCTTTGAACTACTTATCTTTCTGTATTATTGCTTAATAATTGAAATGTTTATAAATGAAAATGCTTTATCGTCAAATTTCCTAAAACTTTTAAAATAATTCAATTCAATTATCAGTCTTTTTTTCTACAATAATCAAATTCAATTGCCAATTTTTCTTTCTACAATAATTCATCAATACCACAAGCCATGGTTTATCCAGAAAATTTTAAAGTTGTCACCAAATCATTATCAAACAATATCTTATTAGCAGCAAGTCCTTTCAAAAGATTTGATAAAATCAATTTTGGAGCTAGAATGGCTATTTTTAAATTTCCAAGTACTAATCAAGATTCAGTTATACCAAAATTAATACTTTGGAGTCCATTACCTTATTCACCTCAAGTAGTAAATGTTATAAATGAGTTTTCAGGAGTTACATCAGAATCAAATTTAGATATCGCATATGTTATTGTACCTGATAGAGAACATAATTTAGCTGCAGCATTATATAAAGAGAAATTTCCAAACACCAAGATCATTGGAATGGAAGGCATTGAAAAAGTTCCATTGGATTATACATTTAAAGAAAAAGATGGTAATAAATTAATTAGTGGTGAAGTATTAAAAGAATTGATTAATGATGAATTGATTTATAAAAATTTTGATTTTGTTTACTTACCATATCATGCAAATTCAGAATTGGTCTTGTTTGATAAAAATTCAAAAGTATTATTTGAAGCTGATTTATTATTCAATTTAGGAGTTCCTAATTTAGAACAATTTTCACCTCAATTAGGTTATCCAGAAAATTATAATCCTCATTCTGGTTTTTCATTTTTAACAAGATATTTACAACCTTATTCAAAAGTTGGTGTATTCATGTTTAATAAATTGGTCAATAATGCAAAGAGTAGAAAAGGATTGGAAGCTATTTACTCTTTAGACTTCAATACAATTGTTATGTGCCATGGAAATATTATTACAAAAGATGCTAAAGAAGCATTTAAACATGTATTTTTAAGTTAAGATGGTAAGGCTGAAATATACATGAATAGGTGACTAACCATATATAGTATTAATTAATAATTAACTTATAATATATCACTTATCTTATCAATAGATAAGTAGCTTTTAAATCTATTGTTGTCTCAAAAAGTTTATGCGATTAGTAATACTCTCCACATTATTCGATTAATGACATAATTAAATCTGAAACGTTTCTTTTTTATAATTTTAATTTTTTTGCTGCAATTTTGCTTTTAACCCCTCAATTACACTTATGGTTTCATTATGTAATTATTTCTGACTTTTATTCTACTATTAAAAATCCCTGGAGCTGTGTATAATAACTCCGCTTAATCTATAACGTAAACATCGCTTTTAGCTATTATAAATTCTCATCCCTTATTTATTTCAACTTATATAAAACCAATAGATTATCTATTTTAATCTTTTCGTTTTTACTCTCTATACAAACTAACTACTTATAAATATTCAAATACAAATTAAAACAATGCCAGATTTATTCGATAATTTTTTTACATCAATTGGTGCAAAATTCCATAATGGTCAAACAAAACGTCGTTACTCAATGGGTTCACAAGTAAATTCAGGTAAATTTTATAGTTATCATAATACTCCAAGTAATAATAATTATTGGTTACCAAGAAAATCTTCAACTACTGATGATCAAAAATTAGTTGTTTCTGAAGATGGTAAAATTACTTCAATAGATGATATCAAAGTTGGTTCAACTTCTGGAACTCAACCTATTCTTACCACTGATGATGATGATAAATTGAATAGATCGAGGTTTAGTAGTGTATCATCAGAAAACTAGCGAATACGATGTCCTTATATAGTGTTTTATATTATACATACTGAATATAGCGATAAAATGAGATCTGGTAACTTTGTAGATTTGGAATCTGAGATCAATTTTTCAAGATCCATTTTTTGAGATGAGTAATTGAAAACCTTTTGAATTGATAAACATGGGGTTTCTCCCTTGTATGTAGATTTCAATGACGAGCTTTTGCAAACAAGATTGCTTATCTTTTCTTTTCTAAAAATTTTCTTGAAAGAATAGTCGGCCGTACTACTCTACCCCTTAAGAACAGCCCCCTAAAAAACTGAGGTAAAAATGTAAGCAAAAACTTAATATCAGCAGCAACAGCTTTTTTAATTTACCTCCGATAAAAAAGCTAAATACCACAAAATAACCTTTGAGACTAGTAGATCATTATTGTAGCAAAAAAAAAAACACCAAACTGGTTAAAAAAAGCAAAAAATAAATGATCTAGCCGAGGATCGAACTCGGGACCTTTTCGGAGCTTACAATCAGTGACCTAATTTGTAAACGAAACGTGATAGCCGCTACACCACTAAACCTTTTCTTGAAAAATTTGTAGGCTGGGAGTTTTAATGGGTATAATATTAAACCCGCTTAGTACACACAAAAAGTGCTACATGGAAAGGCACTTTTATATTGCTTACTGTATAACTCTTACTTTAAATGCTTTTGGGCTCATTAAGTTATGTCAAGGTGAATTTTGCAAAAAAATGTTTTTTCTTGTATCTACCATATGAAATTATGGCTACCAAATGCGTTTATATAGAGCTTTTAAAAGGTCTCGAACACTGAAGTATTGACTTTTTGAGGTTTTGAGCTCAAAAAACAGATCGACCAAGAGGGCCACTTTGCTTACATGCAGTATTACAAAATGCACGTCGACTTAAAAGTACCACTACAATCTCCAAATTATGTACTCTTCAATGCACTTGGTCTTATTTTTGTATCTTCCAAATTGGTTAAGTAATGATGCCTTCAAGTTTGAATATTTTATTTTTTCCGCTGCAACTACCAAACGTGCGCATACGCTACCAAATCTTGTGTTAGCAGTTGGAATCGAACCTTTAAAAAGTCTAAAAACACACTTTCAATAGCAACTTAGCCACAAAGCAAAAATTAACTATATGCAGGTATCGCAAATGAGCCCTGACAATAAAATACCATTTTAAAGTGGCAATTATGTACTTCAAAATGCACTTAGTCTCATTGCTGTAACATTTAAACTCATTTACTTATGGTTTGTTAAAAATTGCAAATTTTATTTTTCGCTTGTCACTACCAAATGAGGGTACGCGCTACCAAAATAAATGTCATTAGCGGGAATTGAACTGCTCGTATGAAATTTTTTGAAAGTGAGTTGTATCAACAACTAGACTACATACCTCAATATTTGCGCATGCAGAATAGTGACACAAAAAGAAAATAGATTTGTTTAAAATTTACACAGCATATATGCATGTGATTTATTAAGTAAAACTTGTAATAAAGAAAACGTTAAAAAATAAACAATCATTATTCGAACAAATTCAAAATTCGGGAATACAAAATACAAATTCATTTGAATAGCCGACAATGGAATCATTTACTAACAAGACTTAGGTATGAGATCTATATCATAAATCGAAACCTTTCTCCACGATTCGTTGTTTCAAAGATCTAACAAGTAACACAAAAATTACAATCAGCGCTTAATGTTCTTAATGTTAAATACAACAAAAATTTTGAAACAAGCAAAAAAAAAAAGTTTTTGGGTAAATTTTTCGTCACATAAATATATTTGACAACAATTCAACTGATTTACATACAACAAACCTTGGAAAATTTTCCACATCAATTGAAACTAACCCACCAACTTATATCAAAAAATGTCATCATTATCATTAGAATTCACAACATTAACAACCGATTTAAAATATCTTATAGAAAATTTTTCAAATTACGTTCAAATAAACGATAAATTTTATTTAACAATAGCGTCAATTTCATTCAATCCAATTTTCTGGAATATAGTAGCACGAGCAGAATATAATACTCATTTTATAACAAAATTAGTAGGATCACCTAAATATGGTTGTTATTTATTAGCTATTACTATATTCAGTTTAGGTATTTTACGTGATTCAATTTATCATGATTTATTAATTTCACAACCTACTTTCCAACCATTAATTGATTCATCAATTATAAAAGCATTAGCTATATTGTTATTTGGATTTGGTAATATTTTAGTAATTTCATCAATGTGGGCACTTGGAGTAACTGGAACTTATTTAGGTGATTATTTTGGTATATTAATGAATGAAAGAGTTACTGGTTTCCCTTTTAATATTAATGATAATCCAATGTATAATGGATCTACTTTATGTTTTTTGGGTACTGCTTTATGGTATGGAAAACCAATTGGATTAGTTATTAGTGGTTTTGTTTTTGTTATGTATAAAATTGCTTTATTGTTTGAAGAACCTTTTACTGCTAAGATTTATGCTAATCGTGATGCTGAAAAGAAAAATATATAAGTTTGATTTAATGTTGCTTGACTAAAAAAAAGACGTTAATTAAAATATTCAATTTGTATATAGAACATTAAATTAATATATAAATAAAAGTATGATCGTTAAAATACTACGAAATCAATGTAGATAAGAAAAAGAAAGAATGAATATTTATTAAAACTATAAAACCGCTGATAAATATGCAATACCCGAAGAACAAAGCCCAATAACAACATCCAAAGAACTAAACCCAAAAATAAAAACCTCTTCATTAACTTGATATCAATTAAAATCAAAAACTTCAGAAATCCCATAATTTTCAACATGATTCAAACTCAAAGATTGAAACTTTTCAGACAGATTATGATAATATAATCCATTGATATCACCACATCCACCAAAATCATTATTATCACTACTATCACCGGACCCAATATTTAAAACAATATAATAAAAACCTTCAAATGAAGCATTTGGAATTTGTTTTATTCTTGAATCAGGTAAAAGAAATTCTTCTTTCCATCTCATATATAAACAATTCTGATTTTCTAAACCTAATTGAATATTAGTTAATTTTTGTAAAAATTCTTCAGTTGTTAAATTAGTTGAATTTGTTAATTTTTTCCAATGTTCAAAATCATTTTTAGGATATGAACCCCAGTTTTTATTTTCTGATATGAATGAATAATTCTTTGTAGAGAATTTATTGTTTGGTATATTATTGATCAATGGATTATTTATAACTTCTCCTTTAAAGTAAGTGGTTATTTCTTGATGATCTTTAGTTAATCCATTTATTTGTAAAAACCCAGTAATTAATGAATTTTTTAGGTCTATAGTTTTAAATTCAACTTTTATACGAAATTTTGATTTTCCGGATTGTTGTTCACCTATAAATTGAGCATTTGGTTGTAAGAATTTATTATTAAAATTATTTAATGAATGGTTGTGATGAGATTTCGAGTAATTTGAAGGTATTGAGTATGGATAATTTATAGCTTTTTGATGTGGTAAGTGTTTGAATGAATCAAAATAATCTAAACTATATTGATTTTTAAATTTATATGATTTTGAATTTCTTGATTGTGAATGAGCTGATTTCGATAAATTAGCTGGTAAGATTGATTTGTGAGTACTATTATTTTCCATGTTTTGGGTATCAGTATTAATTTTATGTTGATGATTGTTATTTTCAATATTTGTTTCAGTTGTTGAAATATTTAAACGTTTATGAGGTATGTCATGATTATTTGCATTAATATGTGAGTTTTCTAAGTCATGGTTGTCATTATTGTTGTCATTATGACCAATTCTATAATTTAAATTGTTTGAATCAATGATATAACCATTATCATAATCTTGGTTCTGTAAATTTTGTTGTTTAGTTTTTAATTGATCTTGTAAGGAATTAACATCAATAAATTGATCATTCCTTTCATTCAGCCTATTCAATTCAATTTGTTGTTGTAATTGTTGAAGTTTTTGAAATTGTTGATTTTGTTGTTCAGAAGTTGGCTCTTGATCTTCTTGATCTTCTTGATCTTCTTGATCTTCCTCAATTTGATCTATTACGTCATGATCCTTAATTTCAGAATTATTGTTTTGTAAATTGGATTGATCGGTATTAATGGATTGTATATGATTAATTTGATTGACTTGATCTGGTATGATTTCAGTGACCGGCATTTTATGAATGATGTTCTATTTGATCCTTATTTTGTTTATATTTATTAATGATAAACTATAGTGGTTGCCCTTGATTTATAAATTATGATGACAATCCTTATCTATTTATATATATATATATATGAGTATAAAAACTTATGGTATGATCTTAATATGATAAGTGAAAATGAATTAAAAATTGTTGTAAATATGATATATAAATAATATAATTATAAATAATATTGTAATGATGATGATTAAGATGATGATGTACTAATAAATAAATAAATAAATAAAACTATACTGCCTTAATTTTTTTTTTTTTTTTTTTTTTTTTTTTTTTTTTTTTTTNTAATGATGTATTATATATATATAATAATAAGTAGCAAAGGTCAATGGAATAGTTATAATAATTTATTATATCAATGAATGGATCCGAGTCTAATTCACAAGACTAATGAGTTTATTTTGGTCTAATGGAATTAACATTTTATTGAAATATTCTTCTATCTAATAACTTCTATAACTTTGCTTTAATTAAAATGAAGACTATCTCTGTTTATTTCTATCTAATTATATTTGTGTCATTTAAAACGGATATATCGTTAATGAATGATAAATAATAAATAATAATTAGCCATCTCTGATGAATAAAAATATGAATTGCTATTCACCATTCACCACACATATATCAATTATATTATCATTAATATAATAAATTAATTATATAATAAACTCTACCTTTTAAATTAATATATTAATAAGATTCTATAAAATACATATGATAAAATGTACTTTTAAAGAAATTATTACATCGCTTAAAGTATATTTAATTAAAGAATGTGCATTTTAAATAATAATTTTAAGCTTGACGGTATAGAAAAAACTTTGTGTTTATTATCGAATTATAAAAACCACCAATCACTTTAAAAACTTGGAATTTTCGTACCTTAAGTTTTTAGCCAATTACAACATAACAACCGTTTGCGCTCTAAACTTTGAAACTGTTTACATTAAAACTCTATTGAATGCAAAGTATCATCACTGTGGAAACTGAGTATGACATGCTGCTTTCGAAACCTCGTAAATATATGCAATAAATCTGATCAATTCTTTCTCTAAAACTTTTGTATACTTTTCACATACGATATTAAGAGGTATTGACAAAGACCAATCTCTATTTCGAAAGCCCCCTAAATTTATTGTTAAAAAAAAAAACATGTACAAATTTACTAATCACGTCATAGACAAGTGAATAACAACAATCATTAATGAATGGAACAGAAACACCACAAAGTCCACTACATCCAGGCCCGAATGATGAGATTGATCCAAATAGTCTACCTACTACAAAACTCCAAGATGACGACTTAGAATTGAACCCTGAATTATACGATGAAGATGAAGAAGATGAACAAAAATTAGATGAAGAAGATTCTAAAATTGCTCAATCTTATTTACCAAACTACGAAGATGACGAATTGGATAATGTTGAATTAGACAGTCTAACTGAAATGACATTACCATTTGAAGAAAAATTCCAACAATTTATAGCAAAAAATTTCAAAAACTCTACAAATCAAGTGTCATTATCATTAACTCAACAACTGAAATTTATAAATTATATCGATGAACAATTATTAGACTTACAAAGACAATTTATAAAACAACAATCAGAATCAATAGTTGTATTTCCCTTATCACACTTGATAAGAAATTTGAATGAAATAATAGACTTAATATGGAAAAGTATATGTTACAATAATCAAGTAAATTTATTTGGACAAGAAGAATATTACATCAAAATAATAGGAGATTTCCAAGATTATCTACTATATTACCCAAACTTATTTTATCAATCAATTGACATAGACGAACAGGGTAAAAGATGGACAAATTTACAAAAGGATGAAGTAATATCATTTTTTAAATTCTTACTAAAATTAGATTTACAATTATCTTTTTTACTTTCAAATGATAAAGATGAAGATGTCATACCTGATTATATTAAAGTGAACGGTAAATCTAAATTCAGTAATACTGAAATTATAAGGTTAAGTCCAATTATAACGAGGATTAGAATTATAATTATTGAAAAAATTGAAAAATTAAGTAAAGAAATTAAATCAAAGACTATGAAAAATTTAATGGAATTAGAATCAAGTAGAATATTTGAAGGTATATTGGAAAGAATATAAGACTATTTTTGTATAAAATTTTAATGTAATAATTAATTATAGTACGTCAAAAGAATTTTGTAAGTGTAGATCTCACAAAAAACTTGGGGTAAAAATATCACTAAATTTTCAAATCTCTACGAAAGTCCGATCAAATACAACTAAGTAATTTCCATCATGTGGCCATTCACAACTACAAAAGAAACAAAACCACTAGGAGAAGATCTACCTGCAGACATAAAAGACTACTTAATTCAAAAAAACAACGAAACAAAACAATTAAACGAACCAGGAATAACACCAACAGAACCTTTTAAATTCGAAGCTTCTAAAAATTCAACAAAAGTTACAAAAATACTATCTTCACAACCACCAAGATCAGAAGAAGAAAAATATCAATTTGAAAAATATAAAATTTCAAATCCTTTAACAAATTCAGTTGCAATAAACTGTGCAGAATTAGAATATAATTTACATTTATGTTATCAACAATATTCACCAATATTAAATATGTTTTCTTACCCATGTTTTAAACAACAACAAAATTTAAAGCAATGTAAAAATTTACAAGTTGATGCGTTCAAATTGTTACATTATCAGGATTGTTATAATATTCAACAATGTAATGCTATTAAAATTTTTATTGATGAAGTATTTGTTAAAAATTTTGGGGAATTAGGTGAAGCTACTAATGATAGTGTTAAAGTTAATGAATTTTATAAAGATTTGAATGAAGGGTTTAACAAGATTTGGTCATAATGTAAATAGAACTGGTAAGGTAATGGCTACTATTATGTTAAAAAATAAATAATTTAATTAATACAGTCTATACTCAATCTATGTAAATTGTACAATGAAACCTGAAGTATTCTATTCAAGAGACTCGTAATTAAGCTCATGACTGGCAATTGACTCTAGGTTGTCACATCTAGTCTGTCACATTCTTTTCAATTCGTAATTTTTGGTAAATCTCTATTAAAATTATTAATATTCAACCCAGTCATAAAAACAGCACCCAAGAACAAAAACCCACAAACCAAAATAGTTTTCAAACTTAATTGATTCACAAAAGAATTCAAAACTTCAGCCAACAACAGTAAAGTAAGTGAGGTTCCATAAATTTGAATAGATTGATTTTGACACCTTTCCAAAGCATCACATTCTTGTGCTATAGCTGGTGGTCTGTTTGATGATCCACAATTATTAGCTTGGAATTGTTTTGCACAATAACTTATCTCATCTAGTATTTTTGTTACTTTTGATTCTATTTTATTGTATATATCTGATTTGATGGTTTTGTAAGATATATACGTTAGATATATTATGAATGACCATAGTATAACGTTCATTATTAATTGAAAATATAAATTTAAAGTATACGGTATCATTGGATTGTTTAGTATAGTTTGTTTATAATTGTTATCGGTTGAGGTTGAGGGTTGATTATTTTGAGTTTGAGATCTAACTGGTTCAGGGTTCAATTTCTCCAACTTTTGTTGTTGTTGCTTTCTTTTAGGTGAAAACATCAAATATGCAACATTCACAGGATTAATTTGAGTCTTATCATCATCTAATTCTCTTTCATTTTCCAAAATATTTACAACTTCTTCAATTTCTTCAGTATTTTCATTTTTATCATCAATTGGTATAGTTGTATTCACTATACCATCTGCAGTGATAAATTCTGTATCTGGTAATTCGTTTGATCTTCTAATAGGGGTCGACTCTGATTCTATTTCATTGAATGTTATGGGTGAGTATTCCCTCTCCATTTTTGAATGCAATTGTTATTGTATTTGTTTACACGGAAATATAACGAAAGATGTGACATTTTAATAGAATGTCATAATCTTTATCTTAATGACATGTAGAAATAATCTTCGTCAAGCGGCTTTGAGTTTGTGTAATATAATTCTCCATCATTTTTATAATCCATACGTACCTGGATTTAAATCTGTTCTGGCCATTATTAGATCAGATTTACCCCAGATTATGAGTGATCTACAAGGTTTTAAGAGTCTACTAGAAGGTTTCAAATGTGAATCACCGGAAAATACTGACAAAGCGGAAATAGCGAGATATAAAGTATCCAAGAAATCAAAAACCACTTCAAAAAGTCCTATAAAGAAAGAAAACAGACGTGTTGAAAAAATCAATACTACAAATCTACCAGATCTAGCCCCATCATTAGCTTCAAATTTAATTGTTTTATTTATAGGATATAATCCGGGAGTTCAATCATCGATAGACCAACATCATTTCGCTCATCATTCAAATTTATTCTGGAAATTATTTAGACAATCAAAGCTACTAGAGAAAGTAGTAGACGTAATACAAGAAAAAAATAAAGATCCTCATATTGAAAATCCTAATCTAGAGAAACTATTGGAAAATGGATGTACAGCAGAAAATGATAATGAACTTGTAAATTATAAAATTGGGTTTTCAGATTTAGTACTAAGATGTACCAGAAAAGCAGATGAACTAGCATCAGATGAGAAATACAATAATATAAAAAGACTAATAACAGAAATTCAAGAAACAGAAGCTCAAAACGTAGTACTAATAGGTAAGGGAATATGGGAGACTATTATAAAATATTACAGTGTTGAAATGAATATTAAATTTAAATTAGATAAAGATAATTTTCATTGGGGAGAGGTTGGTGGTGGTAATAATTCAACTTACAATAAGATTATAAATTATATATACTCGGAATTTTCCCCTTTAAAACCAAAGATTTATGTATTTCCAAGTACTTCTGGATTGGTTTTTGGTATTCCTTTTGCAGAAAAATTACAACTCTGGGAAACTATGGTCAACAATATTTAGTATCGAATGTCAAATCCTAAAAAAGGACAAACATAAGGCATGTGGTGAGTGAAACCACTTGAGAACAATTGAGGTCTACGATATTAGATCCAAGATCTTGTGATCATACAAGGCATCAAGCGGGTTATAATGAAGTAGTTTACGTTAGATAATTTTAGAGTTCAGTAAATGTATAAAGCGTTAAATACATCATAGAGTGCATTACAAGTTGCCCATATTCATTTTTCATTTTATCTCCCAAGTACTACAAAATTTGTTTCTTTTTTGTATCAGCACTTGTCATCTTGTAAAATTTCATCTATATGTATCTAATGTAATATTCTTTTGATGCTATGTAAATTCTTCAATCAAATTTATTATATTTCCACCTTTAATTACATACATTAATTGTCAAGGCTTAAATAGGTAATTTTATTTTGTTGCAAAAAAAAAAATTGAATTTTACAACCACTTTTCTTTTTGTTCTACTGATTTGAAACAAGTGAAAGAATAAAGTAAATTAATTACATGCATATGAGATAAGAGATACAAAGATGAGAAAGTTTCAGTTGTAGTATGTTACTAAGATTGAATGTGGAGGGTGACGATCAGTTTCAGATCAATAAAAAGATGATGATATTCCTTAATTCAGATTTTTTGAAGCTCAATAATTAAACAACTACTTTCAAAATGAACGAAAAAATAGATAATGAAGTTAAGGTAGAAACCAAAGAAGTGGATATAGAAGTAGACACCAAAAAGAATGTATTTATGTTTTTAAATTTGAAGAAAGATTGGCCAGTATTTTTATCAGGAGCTTTATGTATGACTATAGCAGCAGTTGGAACACCAATATCAACATTACTTTATGGTTATATAATGGAAGCATTATCAAAATATTTAAAACATGAATTTTTATCATATGATTCATTCATCAATGAGTGTCTTAAATTCTGTGGAATATTAATGGCAGTAGGACTAGGTAAAATGTTATTAGTTTGGTTTGGAATGTCAATATTTTTAAAATTTGGAGAAATTCAACAAATGAGAGCAAGAAAAGATGTTTATTCAAAATTACTTAATCAAAGTACTAAATGGTATGATTCAAATAAAAATATCATGGGAGAATTAACTCAAGTTGATAGATGTATTGAAGAATTACGTTCTGGAAATGCTGAAATTATGGCTGAATCTATACAAACTGTTGCTTTAATTATTGCATTGATTGTAATGTCGTTTTATCAGTCTTGGGCTATAACTTTAATTATATTAGCTTCAGCTCCAGTTATGGCATGTTTTGCTTGGTTATTTGGTGGTTTAACTTATAGAGCACAAGAAGAAGAAAATGATCTTAGTGCAAATGCGAGTAAAGTATTAAATTGGTGTATGACATCTCCATTGACTGTAAGAGTATTCAATGGTAAATATGTCGAAATGGTTAAATTTAATAAATTTGTTAATGCTTCTGCAAAGGCATATTTTAAAGTTTCAAATGCAATTGCTGCTAATTCAGGTATTTTAAAATTTTTAACATTGATGATGTTTGTTCAAGGTTTTTGGTTTGGTGTTTATTTATTATCACATCACAAGATTACAATTGGTCAATTATTTACATGTTTTAGTTCTTGTTTGATGTTGGGTCAATCAATTTCCACAATTAGTCAATTAATGGCTATTTTAAACACTTCCCATGCTGCAGCTGGTAGAATCTCAACTTATTTGAACTCATCATTAGATGAATATGAAATTACAAAAGGTATATTAAAATATCCAACTCATTGTTTTGGTAAAATTATCTTTGAACATGTACAATTTAAATATCCAACAAGAGATGAATTGGTATTAAAAGATGTATCATTTATGATTGAAGTAGGTAAACAAAATTATATTGTTGGTAAATCAGGAGCTGGTAAATCAACAATACCATTAATATTAATGAAATTATATAACAAAACAAATGGTCAAATAACTATAGATGGAAGTGAAATTGATTTACTAGATTCAAATTGGATATCACAAAATATTACGTTAATTCAACAAAATCCCGTAATTTTCAATGGTACAATTCGTGAAAATATAGCTTTAGCGGTAGTTGATAATTATGATTCAATTGAAAATGTTCCATTACACTATATACAAGCAGCAGCTGAATTTGCAATGTTAGATTTAGATTTAGAAACCAAAATTACTCCATTATCATTGTCAGGTGGTCAGCAACAAAGATTAGCTATAGCAAGAGCAAGATTAAAAGATTCCCCAGTTTTAATTATGGATGAGGCTTTTAGTGCATTGGATTCAAGAACAAAAGAAACTTTAATTAGTAGAATTAAAAGTTGGAGATATGGCAGAACGACGATTTCTATAACTCATGAATATGGTTGTATTGATCCTGAAAATAATGTTATAATGATGGAAGATGGATATGTTAAAAAGCAGGATAAGTATCATAATTTTAATAGCCTTGAATATGCAGAAGATACGAGTGATGATGATGAAGAAAGTGATATTGATGAAAAAAAGATAGATCCATTAGTTAAAATAACCCTGGCTCAATCAGATGAAGAACAAATTAAAAAGGATGATAAATTAATGGGAATATTTGCAATTTTAAAATATTGTGCTCATACAATAGACGTTAAATCACTAATAGTAATTGGTATTATATTTTCAGTTCTTGAAGGTGCAGCATCACCAGTTTTTTCATTTTGTTTTTCAAAATTATTAAGTACAGCATTAGATGCATCAATAGGTAAACATATTACAAAGCCAATTGTTCAATGGTCAGCTATTTCAATTGGTGTTGCAGTTTTCATTGGGTTAACAACATACATATCAAAATTTCTATTATATTATTCAAGTGAAAAATGGATTGTTGGTTTAAGAAAACATTGTTTCCAAAAATTAAATTGTCAAGATATGAGTTTTTTCAAAGAAATGAAAACTGCTGAAATTACAACTTTATTAATGAATGATACTAGAGATTTGAGAAATTTAGTTAGTACTTTTTTGTCAGTGGTTATTAATTTATTATCAATGGTTCTTGTCGGAATAATATGGTCAATTATAACAGGTTGGAAATTAGCATTAGTTGGATTATCATTTGTACCTTTAATTTTGATCATTACCATTTTATACAGTAGAGTATTACAAACAGCTGAAAATAAATATAAATCAAGTGTTGTTGTGAATGAAACTCACGTTCATCAAACGGTATCATCAATAAAAACTATAAAATTATATTACATGCAAAACTATTTTATGAAAAAATTCAATGATCAAATTGATGATATAATCAAGATTGGTAATTATAGAGCTATTCAAACAGGTATTGGATTAGCTATAAATGAGTTTATAACTGCTATTGCAACTGGTGTTATATTATATTTCGGTATGCAATTAACTGGTAAATATCAATATAATCAACAACAATTATTACAAGTTATTACGTTATTGACATTTACGTTAGGTAATGCAGCAAGTTTAATTCATGAATTACCAGAAGTCACAAGAGGTCAAAGAGCAGGAACTTTCATTGTTAGATTATTAGAACTGATTCCATATTCCAAAATTGAAAATGATGGTGATGTTATCCCCAAAACCAAAAATATAAAAGAAATCATTAAAATTGATTATTTGAATTTCAAATATAATGATACACCAATTTTGAAAAATTTATCAGTAGCAATTGAAAAAAATCAACTAGTTGGTCTTTATGGTAAATCAGGTTCAGGAAAATCCACCATTATATCATTATTATTAAGATTATTTGATTCAGAAAATTCACAAGCAATAAAAATCTATGATCAAGATATTTCAACAATAAATATAGATTGGCTTAGAGAAACAATAAGTATTGTACCACAATTCCCAAATTTCTTCGAAGGTTCAATTTATGATAATATAGTATATGGTATAAATCCACTAACTCATATAAATGAAGATGAATTAATAAAATGTTTGAAATTATGTAACATATATGATTTTGTCATGTCATTACCAGAAGGGTTATATACAAGGATAGGTGAAGGTAATAATTCCACAATTTCAGGTGGTCAATTACAAAGATTATCCATTGTTAGAGCATTAATTAGAAAACCTAAAATTATTTTATTTGATGAATGTACATCAAATTTAGAATCTGGGTTTGATGTTCAATTTTTAAAAGAAGTAAGAGCTGCTTTCAAAGATTCCACAATTATCAACATAACGCATAGATTTACTTCAATTTCAGAGTATGATAAAATCATAATATTGGATCAAGGACAAGTTAAAGAATATGATACTCCAGCAAACTTATTAAATGATCATAATTCATTATTTTATTCAATGTGTGTAGCTGCAGATTTGGTTAATTTTGAACAACTTTAATTAAAACAAAATGTATATATAATATATATTAATACTTTATAGATTATTTATATTTAATACTAATTGGAGGAATATCTACATCTTCACCATCTTCATCTTCACAACAAGCTTGTAAAACCAAAAATTGTACATGAGATGGTATTTCTTTCTTGGTAACTAATTTAATAACTTCAGAAATTTTTATATTTAATCTTTCTTGTTTCTTCTTTTGTGGGAAAAAAGTAGCGTATAATACAACAACATCATAAGACAAAATGGAAATTTCTAATTTATCTTCGTTTGCAAATTTATCAATAAGTTCTTGTAATGTTATATCTTTATCTATAATTATTTGATCCCAAACTTCATCAAATTCTTTTGAACCATATTTGGCTTTATTTGATTTTATTGGTTCTGAAAATCCAATAAATGGTAATGCTAAATTAATAAATCCATTTTTGTACTGTTCAATATCATCTTTTTTATCAACAACTTTATATAATTCAAGACAAACTAATCCAGTAACTAATGCAGTAGTAGTTGCAATAGCTGGAATAATTTTACCAGCAATAAATTTAGTCTTATGAGCATCAGCAGTTTCAATACCATAATTCAAAGCTCTACAATTTGAAGCAGCGGTAATGAATTCAATATGATGATTTGTGTCATCATCTTTTTCAAACTCAATAGGATTTAGTCTATAACCAGCTAATGTACTTGGTTCAGGTAAAGTAGCTGCAATTTTTCTAATTGCTTCATCATCAATTGATCCCGATAATTTGTTAGCTTGTTCCTCAGCTTCTGCATCAGTAGCAGCAATATTCACACCTGATTTTGGTTTAAAGTCTGGTATTTCAATACTAGATAAGACTTTCTTGTAATCATCTAAGTTATTTTGTTCTTTTAATCCATAAATATAAGCTAATAAATTAGCACCACCAATAATAAAATCTAAATGATTTTGATTATTTATATCAAATTCCAAAGGTTTTGGTGCTCGTTTTGGACCTGACCAGAATGGTTCACCATTTGAGTTTTTAGCATCCGGTGGGAAATTATATAACAATTGTTTAATATCATGATTAAATTTAGTTTCAAATTCCAATCTTGCCCATTTAATACAATCTTCAAAAGTATATGGTCTTTGATTTAATGATTTTGAAATATTTTCTAAAGTTCCAACTTTATCTGGATTTTGTTTTAATGACAGTTCAACGTAATTCGGTTGACTCAAATATAAATTTACACTTTCTGGTGATTCAACAAAATATCCTTGGAATAATGACTTTGCCCAAGCTATGGTATGATCTATTTTACTTGGGAAAGATCTTAAAGTACATAATGGAATTGCCTTTTCAGGTGGATCATGAGATGAAGAATATGATTCAGTTAAGTGTGGTACAACAACTTGAGTATTACCTTTAGTACCCAAAGTACCAGATTCTAATAATGGTTTTTTGAAAAATACACAACGTCCATCAACATATTCTCTAGCTTCAACATTATCTAATGCATTGGTAACAAGGTCCAAGTTATTCCAGAATTTATCATCAAAAATATTTTGAGTATCAGGGCCAACTTTATCTAATCTTGAATCAATTTTACCTTTTAATGCAGGGTTCATTACAACAACAGCTTCCGCGGCACAATCAGATTTATTTTTACCAACGTCTTTTGGCCTGAACAAAAATTGACGATTTAAATTTGATTTCTCAATTGAATCATTATCAGTAATATAAATTTTACCATTTGGTCCTGAACCTAATCCCATCATTGCCCAATTTTTCAACATTTCACAACCAATTGCACCTGCACCAACTAAGAATATTTTTAAGTTAGATATAGCTTCTTGAAATTCTTTACCAAATACTGCAATTTGACCATCATATCTTGAACCAAGTGGTTTACAAGTTTCTTCATTTCTAGGATAATCTTTACCGCTTGGTAATGACTCTATTGAATCAAAATACAACCATTGTTTTATTGGAGTAAATTTAGATGAACAACATTTCAAAACTTCTTGAGCAATTAAACCACCATAAAATGCAACAATACCTGGAATATCACCTTGAGCTTGATAGAATAATTCTTTCAAATATTTTTCATTAAGTTCTTCTTCAAATTTATTTTGGGTGGCTAATTCTTGAGCATATCTATAAGCTTCGTTTGCATCTTCTACATTATATGGTCTTGGTAATTTATTACTATTTTTAGTTTGGAAAGCGTGTAATGCTTGGAAACCAATATGTAATTGTTGTGGTTTATCAAATTTTGCAAAATCTGAAATCAAATATTCTGGGTTTTGTAATTGATCTAATAATGAATCAAATTTAATTTCTTTTGGTACTTTAACTTGTGTATACAATCCACCTTTTTCATAAGTTCCGTAACTTTCATCTATTTTTATTTTAAAGGCAAATGGTCCTAATACTTCTACTTTATGTATACTTCCATCGTTTAATTTTGGCATTCCTTGCACTTCACTAAATTTAACATAATCTCCATCTTCTAATCCATGTCTACTTTCATCTAACATTGTAACTGTACCATTTTTTTCTATATCTGATACAATTCCTGTTAATGGCTCTTCTCCAGTTTGATCAACTATGGTAAAATTTGCACCAAAATCAACAAATATTTGTCCAAATAAACCTCTTATATCTGCATTTATATATCCAATATCATTTGCATGAGTTATTTGATTGATTTTAACTTGTTCTTCCAAAGTGATATTAGTTGATACAATACATTTAAATTTTAGTAAAGTAGATTCATCGATATTTTTAACAATATTAATAGGAACATATGAGTTTAATTCTCTTAATTTTTCTGCACTTATTTCATCTCTTGGTTGTCCAATTTTGTTTTCACTAAGGAAAAATTGTGTTGATAAATCTTGAATTTCAATTGGAGATGGATCATATAAACTTAATGATTTAACTCCTGCTAATGCAATATTTTTAGCAATTTCAACTCCTAAACCTTTTAAACCAATTATTAATACATTTGCATTTTGCATTTTTAACATTGCTTCTTTACCCAAGACATATAATTGACGTGAATACAATCCTTCATCAATCTCTTGAGGAGATGGTGAATCAATTTGCATATTATCAGACATTACTTTTCTATTAGTTGTATTAATTGTAAGATAAATTAGTAATTAGTAATTGAAATAATTCAATCTATTAAATTACTTACATAAATTATTAATCTACTTAGTAAAAGTTAGTCGTGTTATTTTGATTGAAAGCAAACAGAACGTTGCTACCAATTATGTACATTTTTTGCAGCTTAAATTTCAATTTTGAAACTTACTAAAAAAGTTAATGCTTTATGTCTATTAAATTTGTCTATATATCATCTATAATACCAATGGTCTATTTTCTTGAATCATAAAATCCATACTCTTTTAATAAAGCTTCAATATTCTCATTAGTGTCAGTTTCTTCCAAAATTTTGATTATTTTATTACCCAAGAACAACGAATTATCTGGTATGTCTTTAGATACAATTGAATTTGCACCAATAACACAATTGTTACCAACATTAGCCATAATTGAACAATTAGAACATAACCAACAATTATTCCCTATAGTAATCGGTTTGGCACTTTCCAAAACTTCCTTTCTTGGTGTTAGTCTTAAATAAGGTTCTATTGGATGTAATGGAGTTAAAATTGATACATTTGGTCCACATAATACGTTATCACCGATTTTAACGATTGAACAATCTAAAATGGTTAAATTAAAGTTACTGTAGAAATTCTTACCCAAGTATGTGTTAAATCCATAATCAAAATATACAGGATATTCCATGAATGTACCCTCTCCAACGTGTCCAATAAATGTTTCCAAATATTCTCTTTTGGCAGTTGAATATTCATCTGTAGTTTTATAATCTCTAAATCTAAAATTACCATAATCTAATTGAAAATCTCTAGTTTTCATTCTTGTTATAGCCAAATTTTCAGCTTCTGGGTTATATAACATCCCAGAAATCATTCTTTCCCAATTATTATCGTCGCTAGGAATATGATTTAGATTCTCCTTAGCGAACTCTATTAGTTTTTGATTTTTTTCCAATTTGACATATTTTTGTAAAGAAGTCGATTTTGAAGCCATTTGGTCGATTAATTTATAGTGTAAAAAATATAGTTTGAAATTGAATTTAGTTCTATAGAATTGTCAAAAATTCACCAAAATGAAGAGTGAAAGTCGATTGATGAAAAAATCGTAGTCCAGGTTGTGATACTACTTTAAAAACTTGAACTTCTTAATTGTTGAATTGTGGGGCTAAAGCAATTGAAAAATTTCAAGATTTTGATTGAATTTTTACGAGTATTTATCCGATCCAAAAAGATAAGGATGCTACCAAACCACAAGTCGTGCGCATTTGAACAAAATTTAATTATCAAATCTAATCTGAGGACTTAACGTTTTATGAATCTAACAAACCATAAACTTCAGATCGATCTCCAGATTTGCCCGATCCAACCACCGCTATAATGTCAGAGAAGAAAGAATTATATTGCTTAGCAGATATATGTTTAATTCCAATTGGAATGAATACCCCAAGTGTATCAAATGAAATAGCACTAATAAGTAACCTCGCTAAAAAACAAACAAAAGTTAAAACTACATTACAATCAAGTGGGACAGTAATTGAAGGACCAATTGATGATGTTTTAGATTTGATAAAGCAATTCCACGTGTTGCTACATGATAATGGAGTTGTTAGAATTCAAAGTGATATTAGATTGGGTACAAGGATTGATAAAGTACAAAGTCCTCAGGATAAGCTTGATGTTGTTTATAAAAAATTAAAAGCTTTGGATTAAATTGAAAAGTTGAGTCAGACGGTTTTAAATACTGTGTCAACTTAATATATTAATTAATGCGTATATTGGTTCATTAAATTTAAGGTGCTCTAACATTATTATGTTACGTGTTTCAGATTTATTATCCACTGCGAATTGAGCTAAAGATAAAAAAACTTGAGTAAAAACATCGAGATCAATAAGAATTAAGAGATTGTATAACACCGACAATTTTGCAACAATTACGAGCGTAAACTTTAAAATTAATGTATTATGTATTACGTATATCGGTTTTCAAAACAGACTTAAATTAAATAAACAAATCTAGTAGTAACTCAAGCTATCACTATTATATTCCCCATTATCTGTTCCGTTAGCCGTGCTTTTTTTAGCATTATTATTATTATTAGTTGAACCTTCATCATCACTACTTTCTTCGTCATCATCATCATCATCATTTCTAGCACTAGCAGCAGATCCACCTGATTTTTTTCTTCTTTGTTGTTCACGTTGTTCTAAAATTTTTTCAGTTTGTTTACGTTCTTTTTCAGTTTCCTTTATCAGCTCTTCACTAACACCGAAACTTGCCGGGTTAGACCAAAATAGATCTCTAATAATTTCTCTTACTTCATAATCGTTGAAATTTTTTGAAGTTGATTTATTTAATTCTATTGTAATATATTTCCATTTTTCAAATTCTGCTGCATCTAATAAATTTTTTAAAAAAATCTTGTCTTTGTTATCCCATGCACTTGAATTATTATTACCTTGTTGTCCAACAATAACTTGATATCTATTACGAGCAGCTAAATATGATCCAACCCCTGTAATTTCAGCAATTTCTACCCAATTCTTACCTTTTCTTTTTAGATTTACAATTAAATCGTCTTGTTCTTGGCTAAATTTAGATTTTCTTTTAGCTCTTTTTGCAGTATTACTTATAGTTATATCCGGTCTTATTGGAGCTTTTGACAATGGCGGAGCAGGTAATACTTTTTGTAATCTTTCAGGAAAATTTGCATGTATAACTTGATTTATTGTTATTTCCTCTGTAGATGGGGATGTTATAATTGAATTATTTGACCTTACGTTATTATTATTTGTTTCATCTTTTAATTTATTTTTTAAAACATTGTTGGGGGTAGTTGTATTATTATTATTATTATAGTATGATTGTTGTTGAGGAATTGGCTGTCTCACTTGTTGTTGTAGCATAGATTGTTGTTGTTGATAATTTGGTGCAATGTTTTGCATCATATATGCATTTGGGTCATAATAATGTTGTTGTTGTTGTTGCTGTTGCTGGTGACTTTGCATTTGTTGTTGTGCTTGAGCTTGTTGTTGAGCTTGCATTTGTTGTTGATATTGTTGATAATAAGGATTTAAAGCTATCGGCTGAGAGCTTGGAGGAGGAATTGAATAGACTAATTGTTGGTGAGGCATTGTTTGAGAAAGTGAATTATGTTGAACTAAATAATTTGAAGGTGGTGCAGATTGATTTTGTTGTTGATGCTGTTGATTCTGATTATGTTGTTGAGAATTTGAATTAATGGGTGGTTGCATAGTCTATAAAATAAAATAATCTATAATAATGGAAAATGGAGAAAGTAAAATAAATGTTGTAAATGTATGTTTGTTTTGAAGTTTCAAAAATGATATATGCAAATGTATAATTAAATATTTGGAAAAATGGATTAAATAAAAAATTGGACAATTGAAATAAATGGAAATGAAAGTAAAGAATTGAAATAATAATTTGTAGGTAAACAGAAATGAATATAGTAAAAAAATATGAAATATAAATAATAATGCTATGATATGTATAATTATGTTTGTTGATGTATTTTATAATTTTTTTCTTTTTGAATTTTTTATAATAATTTAGTAATTTGTTTTAAAAAAAAAAAAATTGTTTCATTTATAACTTTGGTGGAAATGCTCCAGTAATTCTTTCTTTTTCAAGTATATAATGAGATTGTTGCAATTGAGTAGATGTGAGCTCAGTGAACTTGAGTTTGTGAGGTTGTAGTAAATTATATTGTGTTGTAAATTAATCACCAAAACTTGAAACTCTCAAAGTTGAACTCGTAATTTTTGTTTGTAAAAGTATATGTTTGTTGTGCTTTCAATTAAAAATGGTGTTGTATTATTATTTTAATTTGAATAAGAAAGACTTATAGAAAAAAATAAAATATTATATAATGAATATTAAAACTAAAGGATTATTCAATATATATATATATAAATATGAATAAAAAAGTTATCGAATATTTTATACAGTACAATAAGATGAAATTTGCCTCAGAATAAATTACTTACTTTGTTTCATGTAGTTAATTAAAATTAAATTTAAAGTTTAATGATCTATAACCAAATTAAATTAGTGGAGAATGATTGATAAGATCGACTATATTTGCTAACGATTTTTTCATTTAAAAGAAAATGATTTATTATTTAATAAAAATAAAAAAATAAGCTGAAACACATTAAATAATAAATTATTATAAAACACAAAAAATAGTATAGGAATTTAAATCAAAAGAATTGAAAAAAAAAAATAAGAAAAAAAAATAAAGTATAGGTAATTAGTTTAAGTAAAGCTAATACTTTATTGGTGAGAGAATATTAAAGAAAATATCATATCGTTTTTTACATTTGGAGTAAGGTCTTTTACATCGGAAGTTTGTAAATCAAACATAAAAAGTTTATTTCAGTACCGGAAATATGCAAATTAATTTATTTAGATTTTGAAGTGTTACCCCTTAACTACAATCTCATTTTGCAACCGACGAATTTATTATTAGATCTAACGAACTAATAATTTTATATTTTATAACTGTTGTTTATGTGATTTACAATTAAAATATGTTTCAATAAAGTTAATTTGTAAATAAATTAATTATTATCTAGGGAAGAACAGAGATTGATATATTATTATTGAGATCGTACAATAATAATTTCACTTAATTTAAGAAATAAAAACTAGGGAAATCGGTAATAAAATCATCAGAAAAAGCTTTGCCACAAAATAGGAAATAAAGTAGTTATTATTATAATAGTGATGCACTACATTGCAAAATGTATAAATTGGCACAAAATTTTAATGTAATAACTCTAAAAACAACACAATATACATATGAAATTTAAAATCAAAAATGAGTTAAGTTTACACGAGCTCTTGATTGTTGTTGGTTTAAGATTAAAGATGCTGAATAATTGATTAAGGTAACATATATATTGCTAGGGGAATTGTAAAAAAAATATACTAACTTTAAAAACCATACTGGTGCATAAACTAAATTTAGTCATATTTCCAGAACTACAACAACTCCGCTCTTAATTGATTCAACTTTGAATCGGTTTATGTACTTCATAGTTGTTTATACTTTGATTGACTCTCATGATGGTACAATACTTGCATTTATAATAAATTATTATATTAAGCATGAGTACAAAAATATTAATTAACTATTTTTTTCTTTGCTTTGTTTTGATTTCAACTTTACTGTGTTACAAAATTATATTATAACTCAATATTTTTAGTTGTATACTATTAAGTTCCAATAAAGGTGTAATTTATTATTTTCACAAGACACACAAATTGTGTAAGAAATCTGAAACAAACTTTAGGTATTCAGTGCCGCTCATCTATTTTAGACTAAAGTTAATTTTAGATTGTTTTAGACTTTTGGTAAAACCCTTTCAAGAAAAGTTCGTAAATGAAATTTTAGTGTAAGAATTATGCATGAGCTAGAATTTTCGATCGAAGAACTAGATGTGATCTTTATATTGTGTCCTAGACCTATATAGCTCAAAACTGAGATTTTGAAATGACAAGATAAAAGATTGGCAAAAACCGGATAAAATTCTTGCATTAATAACTTGAAGTGAAAATGTTTCGGAAAGGAAGATGGAAGTCAAAAAAATTATTAAGCTCTACATGCAGGTCAAAAATTAGATCAATTAAAAAACTTAAGAACAATAGATTTTAATTCTGAAACACTCATACTAAATATTTCAACAGGGCAAAATTTCAGCAAATTAAGGCGATGATCCAAGATAATACATTTTTATTTAATTAAGAAATAAAGCACAAACTAAAAAAAAATCGCCACGAAATGGTTACTAAGTCGGTCCTATTTTTAAAAATGATCGTCTAATGAAACAACAATCAAACAACGAAAAAATTTTCACATGCTTTTTTCAATCTTCTTGCTGCTCTTTGTAATTGCTTGAGGTACTTTGTTTATTTCCTGAGATATCAACTTTTTTAGCGTTACGAACATAATCTATTTTTGCTCACTTTTATGTTTATTCTCATGTAGTTGAATTTGAGTCACACACCCTGCTTTATTAATAAATTTGGTACCAAAAAAGTGCAAAAATTAATACACTTGAACTGCACAAAATATGCAATTCTAATCGTGAAATGGTCTTCTTGAAACTCAAAGATATAGAGGAGGAGGTTTCAACAAGACCGTAAATAATGTTGCAAAAATAGGAATGAATAAGAACAAAAAACAACGGAAATGTCAACTTCTCGCACAGCCAGCCAAAATTTAGGGCGAATTAAGGAGCACTCAAACCAAAATAACATTACTAAAGTCTGGCTAAATTGAGCATTTAGGCTTAGAATATATTAAACCAGCTAAGTTTACAAAGCAATAATTTGCCATATTCGTATAGTGGTTAGTACAAGTCGTTGTGGCCGACTAGACCTTGGTTCGATTCCAGGATATGGCATTATTTTGTTAATTTTGTTTTTGTTCCTTTTTTGCAACTTTTGATTTTGGTCATTTATTGGTTTGAGTTATAAAGATTTAGTTAATTAATTGGTGTGTGTGTGCCACCATGTTGAATTTGTCCTTGAAATTTCAATTTTTCAAATAGGAACAAAAAGCTGAGAGAACTGCATCAAATTTCTGTGTTCGTAAGAGTCGAGATATTGGCAGTCTAACGAATCAAATTATTTATTATTAATAAAGAAACAAAGTACAATATATAAAAATCTAAAAAAGCAAAGAAACAAGCAAAAGTTTTTGCAAATGTTCAGCAATCAAAAGTCTAAAATCAAAAGAAACCAAAAAAATAGTGAAAATCTAAAATCCTAATCTTCAAAAACTCTTGAAGGAGGTTTTCTTTCACGATATTCCCAAGGAAATACTTTTTGTTCAATTTCTTCATTTGCAATATCATCATCCACACTTTCTTCTTCTTGTCCTAATTTCAATTCTTTTAAATCATCTTTCAAAATATCTTCACCTTCTAATTTCTTATCTAAATTTTGAATTTTTTCGAATTTTAAATTCGAAGCTTCACCACGAGGTAAATTCAAGATCTTAAATTTTAGTGATTGATCATCACCAAAGAATTTATTAAAATCATCCCACCAAAATTGATGAAAATTAGATAAATCACTACTTAAAATGTTTTCATAATGCCATGGCTTTTGATGACCAATATAATGTAAATTTTTAATATTATGAAAATATTTTTTGAATGCTGGTAAATATTGATAATCATTCCTATAATTTGGTGTAACATTATATAAATATGGTATTTTTTTCCATTCGGTGAAAAATTCATTTAATAATCCTTGATCAGCTCCATCGAAAGTTGAATCGGAACCCTTTGATGCAAATTCTATTAATTTATCAAATGTTTGTTTGTTTGGTTTCAATTTAAATAATCCTGAATTAAAGATATCTGGCCATCCGGAATCTGGAGAAGCAGCAATTTCATCAGCACTAATTTCGAAATTTTCAAAAATTTCATCAAAATTCTTTAGTGGTAAAATATCAGAATCAAGGTATACTATATCATCATAGTCAATTAAATTCCATAATAATAATTTACTAAAAGTAACTGAAAGTTCTTGTCTATTTAATTCTTGTTTTAATTTAGCTAATGGAGATTTTATAATTTGATCATTTATTGGAATAATTTCATCATATATTTCTTCTATCAATTGTTTGAATTCTGGTTCAATTGATGAAGTATCTAATAATATTATAAGTTTATGTTTTGTTTTTAGATTCTTTAATTTTTTACCCAATGTTAATACACCTGGAACATAGCTTGGACCAACTAATAATGTTGCATAAGCTGATGACATAATCTTTTGATGTAGAATTTGATGAGTGTGTGAATGTGTATTGATAGATTAATTTATCCAATGAGTTGTTTTAGAAAGTGGTGGCTAGTTGTTTGTAAATAAAGCTGATTTATTTTTGAATTTAAAATTAATTAGAAGATAAGAATTTATAATTTGTTAATGCAATATGGAATAATATATTAATAGAACAATAGAATAATAATAATAGAGTAATCACTCACTCTAATTTTATTTATTAAGAAAATCTCCAGATCTTAAGATTTTGTGTAAGGCATCAATGAGATTTTCAATTTTGTGGGGCATTTTATTATTAAAAATTAGTTGATTAATTATACAGATTTAGTCAAAAATTAAACCAATTAGATTTGAAACTCGTGAGATTATGGACTAAATTTAATAGACTAAAAGAAGAAAAGGAAAATAAACAAAAGAAAATACAACACGAAATTTCTCAAAATTCGTTAGCTTTAAACTTGTAAAATTTAAGATATGAATCTAACTTTATCATTTAAGATTTAAGATATAGATCTATTTAAAAAATTATAAACTTTCCTACCATTTTCTTGTCCCAATATTTCAATAAGCTGGTCTTGAGTTAATTGAACAAATTCTTCAATACTTTTAACTTTTTGTATAACCAAATAATAATTCACGTTGTTGATACCTGGTATATTTTGTATGAAATCTATTGGTTCATCATTGAAAACAGGTGGACCTCCATCTTCTGTAACTAATGCTTTGTTTACACCTTTATCTAAAGCTGTACCTACATCTGGTTCTTCTTGATTTGATTTTAGCTCTAGGAAGATTTGTGCAGTCTCATAAGGTGACGAAGACCATATGATTTTCAATTTCGGGAATGAATATAACAAAGCAAAAATTTGAGATTGTACACTTTGTTTCAATTTCAGTTCTATCGATTGATTTGTAGCAGTTGCATTTGATTTAGCTTTTAAAAATTTGGATTCAGAAAATGGTTCTAATGAAAATGATTTGTTCTCATCAAATTCTATTAATAATGTTGGTAATTCATAATGTCTAAACATTTGTTCACATTGGTTGAATAATCTTCCACTTTTGAAACTTTGAATTAAATCAGGTATTGATTTTCTTTCAACACATATTTTAGGTGATACTATATAATCACCTATCGTTATCATACAAGGTATAACTTGAATTCCAATTCTATATAATAAGTTTGGCAAGGATGAACCAAATTCTCTTACATCTACTATAACTCTCATTTCATCAGTTTCTGTTCTAAAATTTGCACCACCAGCTATTCTTGTGTTAACAACTTGATTTTTTTGTAACTGGAATTTATAGTTATCATCTGAAGTTTGGAAATGTTTACTTAGATTGGCTTTTTCTTTGATTAATTTTGTAAATGCTTCTTTTTCCTTCTTGATCCTTAACAAATGTTTTTGTTCTTCAACTGAATTTCCATAATACATAAAATATATTTTAGCGGGATTTTCATGATTTATTGACTGATATAATTCTATTCTTCTTATGAATGATAAATTTGGTTCATACATTATTATATGAGTAGGCGAAAGTTCATCTAAAAATGATGAACCTTGTTTATCATTATATACTTGTATCATAATTTGATCATTAGGGTTTATCCATTCAAATTTCAAAGTATTTGTATCAAATGCTTCAATAATTTCAAAATCTTCAGGTAGGTTTTCCTTTTCTGGGTTTTCTTCTTCTTGTTGTGTTAATTCTTCATCAGCTATCATTTGATTAATCAAATCATCTTCGTTTGTGGTTGATTCTTCATTTGGATCAGCTATTGAATGTAATTGGTTAACACGAGCAGCTACACTTGCACCTCTTGTTCTTCTTCGTTTACTTACTGGTTGACCATTTCTAGAAAAAGTTTTGGAAACATTAATTTCAGTCTCTTCAGCTTTTTGTTCATTCTCATCTTCTTCTTTATCCAAATCAGTTGATATTTTTTTAACTAATTTACTCACCTCCTTAAATTGTAGATAATCTTTCAACTTGTTTATCATATACGATCTAAATGAAAAATGTTTAAAATCACCTCTTTTTATCTCTTTCATTGACGCTAGCAACCTATTTAATTGGTTCGCCACTTTCCTACTCGAGCACATAATCAATATTCTACCACCTTCTTGATCATAATTCCCACTAATAGATTTTTCATGATATATATCATCAACTAATTGTCCCAACTGACTCCATTTAGGTAGTTCCTCTAGCAAGTATTCACCATTATGTTGACCTAAAGCTCTTTCCTTAGCGTATCCAATAACAGTATGAGACTCATCAAGATTCAACCAGGGACTCATTGATCTATTCATCCCCACGGCTTGCAGTTTCAAATTTAGATCCAATATATTTTTGACAATTTGATAAAATGTAACAGAATCTAAAGTAACTAAATCAGTTAATAAATCAACCAATAAACCAATATCATTTAATAATTGTTTTGTTGTAAAAGTCAATCTATGCCATTGAGAATCTAATGAAGCTCTTATTATAACAACAAAATCTGGGTCATGAATATTTTCAATATCCCAATATTCAGTAGCTAATGTTGGATTATGTCTTTTTAATTCTCTAAGACATGCTTCAATACAAGCTAATAAAGCAGCTTGAATTTTATTCATTTTATAAGATAGCTTAGTGTTGATTTCAGTAACCAATAATTTGGAATCCTTTTTATTATGATATAGTATGGATTGTGTAACAGTAACGTGAAATCTTGGCCATAGTATAACATTTGATAATCTTAAAATTTTTAATTTTGATTGTAATGGAGTAAAACCTCTAAAAGATTCAGGTTCATCAGAAAGTGCCTTTATAAACCCCCATTCATTCTTATCACGAAACACGTTAATTATAAATGCATCATTTGAAGTTTCTCTTATACGTTCTGCATGTAACACGAATAAACCCGTAATTTCGTTAATATTTATTGTCCCAGAGAGTAAATCAACTATTAGGACTCTTGGTGATATAGATATTATACCTCCTTGTTCATATATCGTTTTTCTCTTTGATGAAGTAGCATCACCGGCAAGTGGTGTAAATTTACATTGATTATTATCTTCATTAAGCCAATTTAAATCATCAATTTCTTCACCTAATCTAACAATTTCATGATCTTTTGCATTCAACAAGAAAATCAAAGTTTTCCTACTTTGTCTTTTACTCAATTGAATGAATGGTGCACTCAATGAAAATAATAAATTAGCAGTTATAGTCTCCCAACCTAATCCTCTTCCTAGAATTAATAATGAATCTTTAGATAGCATATCCTCCAAAATTTCTTGTTGAAACCGTAGATTTAAAGTACAATTAACTTCTCTTTCCGGATATACAGGAACTGATTCTGCTGTATCATAAACAACTGGATATTGTGGTTGTTCTTGCTCGTTTTCTTTTTCTTTTGGTTGTGAGGTTTGTGGTGGTTCAATATGTGATTGTAATGGATTTAATCTTTCACTTCTTTCATCGAAATCTTGTTGGTCAAGCAATTGCTGTTGTTGCTCCGTCACATCTTCATCATCTTCCACGAATAATGACATTCCATTGATTTAACACGTCTTTTACCATATAATTTATTATAAGATCTAGAAAGATTGTAAATATGAATATTGCGTTTTTTCTCCAGATATCGCGAGTACAATTTTTCAATATGTAGCAATACAATTAAATTTAATCTAACAAAATCTACCTTCAAGTTAATGTCACTAGTCTCATCCAATTATGCAGATATAGAAAGTTCGACTTTAAAACAAGCATCATTACTACATATTATTAGAGTAGAAAATATAAGTCAGTCCAAATCACATCAGATCGATGAATGGAAAGAAATCTCAGATCCAAATAATGTATCAGTGGATAGATTAAACAAATCAAACAGAATAATCAGAGAAGTCAATTTAGGAGATGATAATGACGATCAATTCAATGAACCAAGACTGAAAGACGCATCAATTTACAAATTATTACTCAGAGACAAAAACAACAATTTCATCTACGCATATGAATTAGAACCATTAAGATTTCTAAGAAATGAGAATACGCAAACACCAGTTCCTATAAAATTAGGTGGGAGATTATTAATTAAACCTGGTGCGATTGTACTGCGAGGTGTTTTGATGTTGGATCATAAAACTTGTGAATATAAGGGAATACATCAATCTGATTCTGAATTAATTAAGACCTTAAATGATGGTATAGATAATAGAGAAATTGATATCTTATCAAATGACTAAAAAGAAGTTATCATGGTTGGCCGTAAGTTCAAAACAGCTAAATTATAACTTTGTAGTCAAGTTTTCTAGAACAACGAACTGACCAAGTATTAGTAATATTTCAGTTGTGCAAATACTCAACTTGGAAAAAAAAGAGCTGCTTTATTAACATGCCCTAATATAATGGTTTCAGATGATTCAGATTTGGGAAAAGCCAGATGTTTTTGAGGTGATATGAAGCCCATGGTCAACGCAATTGGTTTCTTGTGTTCACTTAATTTATTCACCAGTAATATGTTAAACAATCAAGCTTTTATTGAAATTTAATCAATACTTAAGCTCATACTTTGGGCTTGTCTTTACAATGTGATGTTGAAATTTAGGCTATATCATATATAGGTTTTATACAAATTTATAAGTACACCTAAAGAAAATACTATCTTTCATTAGAAAGACTTCAGTTAAATTCAAATTTGTAAGTCGTTTTAAACTCCGTCCAGACATGTTGTATTATTTTTTCTAGGCTACACAGTATTGGTTCGAATTGAGAAGCTTTTACCATAGATTTAATTAAGCACATGTTCAAACGAAATAACTATGAAAAAGTGTCTGTTTCAGATACGCTACCTATCAGCGATAATTATTTTTGTGTCTGTCAAATTGCAAAAAATTAAAAATACAAACATATCAAAAACAACTTAGAAAATGATATGAAACAAACTCAATTACAAGGCCAGGAAGTCTTTATATTTTTGAAAAAAGTAACTACGCAACTAAAATATAAAAAAAAGTGGTATATGCAAAAATACTGGATACTTTTAGTACTTGACCAAATAGTAAGATTGAAAGACTCGGACTATTTTAGAATACAGAGTGTTCAGCAAGTTCCACCTGTCATAATCTACGCTGTCTAAAAGTATTTCGAATACAAATACTTGATCTTTACAAAGTACCCTGAAAAAATTCTCAATTAGGGGAGTTTACAGCTGTCAACAAGGTTTCTGTTGCAAAATTACAAAACATGTCTTTGTAAAGCTCCACCATTTGGGAAATGAGAGCCAAAAGAGTGCTCAGATTGTTGCAAGCATGTCGCCTATTGGTCCTTGATGGTACTCAGAGTTCTCAATATGGCCTAATAGTCTGTGAAACTACCCCTAAAAAATTTGAGAATTTATCATTTTGCGCCTGAACATTTCACTTTTTTTTCCTCAAACTTTTTTATTGCATTTTCAGACACCCTTGCTCTTTATCCATCTATTGAGCTAGGTCCCATTACGTAAACTCCTCTGGTTGTTGAGATATTAAGGAAAATGTCTAACTCACTCAAATGAGCAGCTAGCGCCTTCAAACTAATTTGATCAGCTGGATCTTAGTCCAAGTAGATCAAAAAACGATTCTGTGTGCTGCTAGCGATGCTGATTGATGAGATATAAGCCATTTTAGTTTGGGTCACTTTCAAAGTCAATATTACACAAAATCGAATTTATACCACCGAGGTCACGTTATTGGTAACTAAACTACTTAAATAAGTCTTTTACTTTCAGTGTTGAACCCAAAAGTGTCAAACTAATCACATTTAAAATTGATCAATGATCTAAATGATATAAGGATTAGATATTTTTGAAGAAAACTCAGAGTCGGGAACCCAGAATTTTTTACACACAAAATACTGCATATAAGCAAAATTACACTCTTCGTTTTCGTTTTTTCAATTGGCTTCAACTCCATACTGGTGCAAATTGGAGAAGAAAGTGTCATAATAATTACATTTACTTTTTTGTTAACTTTACAATGGTTTAGGTTCTGTAAAAGTTGAAGTAGTTTAAATGTTCGTGAAAATATCGATTTTGAAATATTGCATTTTGAGTTGTATTTGTATGTGACTGCATATAAGCCAAAATTAAAAACGCCAATAACTCAAGAAAGAGTGAAGAATTGCTTGATTTAAGTAGTCTCTTTGTGTCAGTAAAGTGAGACCTACATTTTGGTACAGCTTTTGTTAGTGTAGGTGCAAAATTGACGGAGTTAGATAAAACCGTGAATATCTCAACAACCAAGAGATCAATGGAAAATCAACCTACATCGAAGAGAAGCGAGAAAGTATAAGTAGCTGGAGAAGCAGTAAAAAGGGCATTTTGTCAATGATGGCTAATGAGTCAAGAAAAAAACTGATGTGCTTCGCCGTTATTTGGCAAAATTGTCAATTTTTTCAAAACAGGGGTTTAGAGCAGCATATGTGACTTTATAACTGCCTTGTGCCATTAAGGGCTTACTAGTCAAGCTAATAATTTATGTAATAGACATAACTAAGTTTTATGGCTTTATATATATTTTTCTACTTTTATTAGTCTTTTCTAATTATTTTTATGGCTGATAAACCCCCTATTGAGAATTTTGATGGCACAGGAAGCATGGACCTTATCTTAAAGTATAAGCATCCAGCGCTAAATTTGTTTGTTTAAGTATTGCGTACCTTTGTATATTGTGTTTGTTTTCCAAGTCTTTAGTTTGATTGTATAGCAAAATATTTTAAACTTTATATTTTTATTTCTATATTGATTCCAATGACAACACAACTTTTTTATTCTGTATATTTTTATTCAATCTATATATAATACACAATTTGAATTGCAATAGACTAACTGATTCATCTTGAAATGATTTTGTTGATGTTTATTTATGAGCTGGTTCAAAAATCACATTTTTGCAATTTTATTTGTTATGATTCTAAACTTATAACGTACTTTAGGGTTCTGCATACAAATATTGGTAACTTAGGCACTTCCTTTTTGCAACTTAAAAAAAATACTCTTGACTGTTTCAACTTAATTAAATCGATCTGCGTCAAAGATGACGGCAGTGTAGACAAGAGTAGTCAATAACATTTTGGATTTGATGATTAAAGTTTTACAGCTTTGGTATCACTGATGCTTAGTGAATGAAACAACATTTTCGTACAGGATTTGTGAGAAATTTTTGGTCCAAAGATTACCTATTGTTAGCGACTAATGTTGTATAAAACTAAATCTCTGGGCTAGCTTACTCTATTTTTGATGTTGGGGTAGTTAATACTAGTTCATCGTATCTTCGTATCTGTTCAAGATCCACTCGTATCTAGATCCCGATCCAGGTTTCTTCCGATCCATATCAAAAAACTTCGATCAGCATATCAAAAATCTGAATCAAGCATACCAAAATCTTGAAAGCTAGCATATCAAAAAAATGTAGATTCAGCATATCAAAAAAGTTTAGATCTATAACAGAAACTTGAAACACGCATAACAAAAGCCTGAAACAAGCATAACAAAAACATGAATTAAGCATAACAAAAACATGATTTAAGCATAACAAAATCTATAGATCCAGCATAACAGAATCTCTACGATCCAGATCTTGATTTCGATCTTGATCTCGATCTCGATCTCAGTCCATCCCTACCACAATAGTTAATTTGGGCTTGAGATCCCGCAAATCTTGATCTCGATCTCACTCGAACCTGCACTGTTCATTCTTCTAGTCCTAAAGACTATGTAATAATCTAGAACTAACATAATGTATAGATAAATTTTTAGTAAATTTGAAAATGAGCTGGTAGCATGATCTGAAACAATTAGCCATACGTTTGTGGTTGCAAAAAATACTCCAAAAACGTCCTCACTGTAATTCCAAACTTTGGTAACTTCTAGCAATTGATTTCACTTGCTTTGGATAAAACATTACTGTCAGCCCTTGAGAATGCTAGAATTTCAAAAAGATACAGACGATAATATTCACTCACTCACCCAATTGTCTGGAAAAGAGATGGACTTTGTCTGGATATTTTCTTATGAATGCTTGAAAGCTTGAAGCGCATATTAGCTTTCCTGTACTTATTTGATGATTTTTTAATTCGAAAGCTGCTTCACAAAAAATTTTCCTTTCCAGAACAAGATCTACTATGATAAATTATTTGATTTCACCAACATATTTTACTCGACGTGACTAAAACTTAAACAGTATCAATAGGTTTGATGTTTTTCAAATAACAAGAAATCCACTATTAGCTGGTTCTAAGACACTCGATTTACTATTCTGGACAGTTTTGCGTCTCAAATTAAAATACTGACAAATAAGTACTGAGGACAAACCAGCCAACTTAGTTCGAACAGATGGCATATGTAAAACTTCACCTCTTTGGATGACACAAATAATTGATAATTAGTCTCCCAAGCTAATTCTTTAAAAGCGATACATGAAAGTAAGTGGCTCATTGTGCAACTTTTTAAATTCAAAAAAATCTCATACACTAATGGTACAACCTATTGGGTTTTAAAAACTAGGATAAGCTCTTAGTCTTGAGAATCTACTCTGAAGAATTTTCACTGTTATACTAACAGTATTGGGAACAAAAATAATTGCATCAACTAGGCTCCAAGCAATGAAGAATTTTAACAACAATGACTAAAGATTGAACTTTTTAAATAAATTACTAAGAAATTTTGGTCAATCTAGAAGCTGATAAGCTAATGATTTGGAGAATCAAAAGAGTTCAGAATCAAAATCCATGCAGTCAAAAAAGGGCTAATTAGACACCGCCATAGTTAGCAAAGTACAAATTTTTGATCAACAAATCCTGCCAAGAACAAAAATTTGGATGCAAAATTCCTTTAGGATAGTCTTGAAATGTATAGACAGCTTCTTTTATATTACTATTTACAGCCATGAAAAATTGCAAAAATTGGTCAAAATGGGTCAAAAAACACAAAATCGTCGATGCACCCCTGCAGAAATTTGAGAAAATTCAACTTTTCACCACAACAAATGTAGCTGATGTGCTACGTAAAGACTAAGTTCAAAAATGCTTTTATATAGAGTATCTAAATATACGACACTCATAAAAATGAGACGTTTGGCATCACCAGGGTAATTAGTTAGGAAAATAAAATTTACTATATTCGTAAACAAAAACTCAACCGAACTCAAAAGTGGTTAAATGTACAATTTTCAAGTCAATTACAGCTCTATTTTACAATATCATAGTCTCAAACAAGACCAGTTATTTAAGTTGAAAGGGTTATGGTTAAAAAATTAGGTTTCAGCTGAAATTTCGATGAAAACTTGAGCTTCTGAGAAGTTTTGGTAAATACACTACTCGTTATAACTTTTGCCCTCTTAGAGCTGGTGCTTAATGTCTCATATTAATTACATTCGATTTTGATCAAAGATCAGATTGGTATATAGATCAAGAAGTAATGACAAAATTTAATAGTTTGGGCTGCAATTTTCGAAAAAATTCTTAAACACGAGGTACTGCATATAAGCTCATTTCAAACTTACTATTTAGCATTGGAGATAGCTCTTGTTTCATGCGTAGTCAGTACGTAACATGAAGCTTCTCGTTTAACTCACACTTTTACACGAGCGGTAAATTTTGGTACATTAGTCCTTCATGTTCAGGGAGGTATTGAAATTTCGCAATTTAACTTCGCGCTTAATATTTAAAACCTTCCCAGCTCAAACTATTACACCATTATAATAATGGGGTTGGGATTTTAAAACTATTCAAAAAATCACTTAACTAATTTCGAGACAATCAGTCTTTTGAACTCAGTTACCAAATGTTATGGAACTTAATAATTGAAGTACGAGGACATTTATTTCTGTTTATAACGGCCCAGACAACACAAATACCATCCTCATTAATGACTGAACTTATTTCATTAAATCGAGTACAAGATAATCCACTAATTAGATATTGTAATTTCTTATATACATAAGAACTATGCGGGAAGAACCCCAAAATTCTCCCGGAGTAGATCAAGTAATTTTAAAGTATCTGATGTTCTTGCTTTCTTTGTACTGAAGTAGTAACCAAACAATATTTTGATGCTTTGAAATTATGCTTCAGTACTTACTGATCAAGACAAGTACTTCTTGAACAGAGTATTGAAATTATTAGAAGCAAATGCTGTTTACGAAATATGTTTCAAAAGATGCTACCAAAATATTTTATAATTTTTTTTCTTTTACACGCAAAAAAATTGCAAATACAAGCATACCAAAAGTAAATTACAAAATACGTTATCAATCTCAAACACATTCTTCCTTATCATATATGGCCATTCACTAACTACACTAAACGCAAAATGCAGCATTCAACAATTTATTTATACTGATAGCTGTTGTAACTACAAAGTTCTAGGAGGTCATTTTATTTTATTATATATTATAGAGAAAGCCATTATTGAAAAGTGATTTGTTTCAGTGTACCTTACGGGTACGACAGAGCTTAAGCTATAGCTATTTTGGGAGCTAGACACTCGCTCAAAATGACGTACCCTAAAAAAATTCTCAAAAGGGGTGGTTCACAGCTATCAAAAACTTTGTTTTTGCAAAGACTAAAAAGATATGTCTTTGCATAGCTTCAACATCAGCTCAGATGAAGCCAAAAGAAACTTGCGAATAAAACTTATGTGTTTCCTATTCGTTCTTGATGGTACTCAGAGATCGTAATTTGGCTTAATAGTCTGTGAAACTACCCCTTGAAAAAATTGAGAATTTACCAATTTGCGCCTGAACATTTCACTTTTTTTTCTTTGATAATTTTTATTGCATTTCTAAATACCCTCACTCTTTAGCTATCCAACAAACCAGCTCTAATTGTCTAATCTGTTTTGGTTGCTGAGATATGAAGCAAAACGTCTAACTCGCTCAAATGAGCAGCTATGGGTTTGAAAGCAGCTCCAAGAGTTAGGTCTTGATTTCACTAACTCAATTAATATGCTAAATCGTGAATAGCTACTGTGAGTCAGGAGATATAAGCCATTTTAGTAATTGCCAATCTCAAGGTCAAATGACACAAAGCCGGGTTTATAGCTCCGCTCACGTGCAACAGCAGTCAATTATGAAGCTCAAATATTGGATTATCTACAGAATATATGCATGAATCAGATCAGCAAACAAGATGATATGTGACTTGAATAACATTGGAATACAAAGTAGCTTTGTACTAAGCTAGTTTAGTCCAAATTCAACCTAAGTTAGGTAGTTTCAGGTCTCCATAGTTATAATCTGTGTTCAAATTACACGACTTTGTGTCTTAATAATATTTTGCAGCATAACAAAGATTTTGTTATTTAATTATATACAAATCAAGAAATTTTTTAGTACATTTTTACTACTTCTTCTTCTCTAATTGATCACTAACTTCTACTTTTATTCATACAAATACTACTTTTATCCATACAATTGTAGAACTATTTATTTATTTATTTACTAACCTTCAGAATTCTAGTTTCATTATCAATTGAGAAATATTTGTGAGACAATTCACCAACTCAAGTATGGGAATTACCTGAGTTGACTACCTGAGACGCTTTTCCAACCCAATGGACAAACCAACAATTTTATTAAACTCGAGAACCAATCTTTGGAGACAAACTTAACTAACTGACTGGACTGTGATTTAGATTAGACATTGGAGTGAAGCAAGTGAGATTTTTGGTGTTTTGGATAATTGACTGACTACCCTTTTTGACTTTGGTAACTGAGATACATGACTGTGAGTGGACAGGCTGCTTGTTAAAGATGAATAGTTGATTTTGATTCAACTTTGATTTATCTCATTTCGTATCGTCATATAAGTTAAATACAATGGTTAAGACTTAAAATAGCACAAGAAAGTAAGAAAATTAGACACAGAATATCCCCAGTGCAACCAGACACTAGCCACCAAAAGATTGAAATGGTCATTAAGATTGAAAAACAGGCCAGAACTAACCCATACCGACGGTATTCAGATATTCACAGCTTAAACCTTACAACATGAAAATACAGATATGTTTCAAAAGACGCTACCATATATCTTAAAAATAATTTGCAACCAAAAAAAGTGCAAATATATTAAAAGTTGGATAACACCAAATTTGAGTACCGACTGAGAAGCAAAACTACTCAATACTAGAGTTGATATATCATTGTACTATATTTTGATAGAATTTGTTGCTACTGATGATTTGGAGATCATTGAAGGAGGTTTCTGATTGTGAAATAGAGCAAAAATAAACACTAATACATGTGACAATTTAGCACACCAGAGCTACTGAAGTTACGTTATTCAACTGCCAGCTGTGACGCAGGCACTTAACTAAATGACGTACCCTAAAAAATCCTCAAATGGGGGGAGTTTACAGCTGTCAGCAAATAATTGTTGCAAAAATGATTAACATGTACTAGCAAAGCTTCAGCACTTACGTAATTTGATACAACTATGAGCTTTAGTGATGTACACATGTTTGCCTATTGGTTCTTGATGGTACTCAGAGTTCTCAATATGGCTTAAAAGTCTGTAAATCTACCCCCTAAAAAAATTTGAGGGTTTTCTAATTTTCGCCCGGACATTTCACTTTTTTTTCTCTAAAAACTTTAATTGCATTTTCAGATACCTTTGCTCCTCTACTTTCTAATGCACTATGTTTTAAAAAAGTTTCTCTTCTAGATGTTGAGATATTAAGCAAAACGTGTAAATCGCTCATTTGAGCAGCTACAGGTCTGAAAGTAGCTTCAAAGATTAGATCTTGATTTGACTAACTCAATCAACTTGCTAAATCGTGAATAGCTACAATGAGTCAAGAGATATGGGCCATTTTAGTAATTGCTAATCTCAAGGTCAAAATGACACAAAGCCGTATTTATATCTCCGCTCACGTGCTACGTTTAGCTACTAATGCAGCTTAATAAATTGTACAACCTACACAAATTTTGTATGAAATGGATGAATAAATAAGGTAGTCAGTAAAATTGGAGACATTGGAATGTAAATGAGTTTTAAAAGAGCTTAGTTCTGTCCAAATTGAGGCTAAACTGGGATTCTAAGTATTTTTCTATTTCTGCATATACAAAAATAAAATATTTGCCACAAAGCATGATTAGAGTTTTATAAAGCATAAACAGTAAAATTCTATAAATTTTACAAGAAATGATTAAATTTATTTATTCTAATTCAATATTTATAATATAAAGATGAAGCAGTATACGTCTTGGATATTCAAATGTAGAGAATAAACTCTATATGTAATTTTTATGATTTAAAATAATTTCAAGTATGACGGTAGTTCATTAGGTTCAATCCTGATCTTGCGAATTTACCATAACTGAACATTCTGTTTGATTAATGAATTCTTGCTTTTTGGAGCATTCTGTAAGATAAATGAATCTTGAACATTGTAACTCTTATTCTACTTCAATTTGATTGCATTATATGATACTTTGTGAATGAAAATGAATTAATATAAACTATGCTAGAAACAACAGAAAAAACAAGACCAGCTTATTTTTCTATTAAAACTAGAAGTATCAGAATGTAAATCTTCATCTTCTTGATTTTGATGATTTTGATGATTATGATGTTGAGGTAATTGTTGATATTGTAAATTATTATTATTTTTAGAAAATTTAGAATTTCCATTAATTGGAGTTTGATTTATTGATTGATAATTTCCGTATTTTTTCTGTTGTCTTGAAATTGATCCATTTTTAGTACCTAGTAATGGTTGGTTGGACAGTGGTTGGTTTTGATAATTTAAGTATGAATTTTGTTGTTGTTGTTGCTGTTGTTGTTGAGTATATGAATTTGATCTTTGTTGTTGTTGTTGTTGTTGTTGTTGTTGTTGTTGCTGTAGTTGTTGTTGAGAATTTTGTAATTTTCTTGGTGGATGAGGATTTCCATATCCATGTAAATTAGCTTTTTTATTTAATGAAGCATCCCAACCTTTACCATTATTTAAATCCATCCAATCATAATGCCCATCTTCTTCTAAACCTAATGAAATCATTGCTTTATCCATTAATCCAATAAGATATCTATAATCTGGTTTTTCATCAAATTTTAAATTTCTAACATAAGTTAAATATTGAGCAAATTGTATTGGTAATCCATAACATAATTCATTTACTGGAGTTGATTGTTTTTTCATTCCTATTTTTTCATATTTTTGTTTATTTGTTGGTGCTTTTAAACCTTGCCATGGTAATGAACCTCTTAAAAAATACATAAATACATGTCCTAAACTTTCTAAATCATCTCTTCTTGATTGTTCTCTACCTAAATGAGTATTTATTGACATATATCTTGCTGTACCACTTAATGCTTTTTTCTCTCTATATGGTATATGAATTTTTGATTTAGGATCTCTATATTGTTTTGCCATTCCAAAATCAACCACAAATATTTGATTTGACTCTAGGGAATCAGGTCTACCAATTAAAAAATTATCTGGTTTAATATCACGATAAATTAAATTATGTTCATGTATAGTTTCAACTCTTTGAATCATTTGTTTTGCAACTTGTATAACTGTTTTAACAGTAAATTTTCTACTACACCAATCAAATAAATCTTCTAATGATGGTCCCAATAAATCTATTATTAAAATAGAATGTACACCTTCTTGTCCAAAAAAATAAGCTTGAGGTATTCCTTGTGTGTTATTTAATATTCTATAGGATCTATATTCATCTCTTAATTGTGGTGCTTCACATTTTCTTGGTTCAAATTTAATAGCAACTTGTTGATTATTTAAGATATTAATACCTTCAAATATAATACCAAATGAACCTTCTCCTATCTTTTTACCAACTTTATAATGAACTCCAACTATACTTGGAGATTGAGACATTGCATTTGTTATTATATGATAGTGGATTTATAAGGTTATTAATACAAGGTTAAACAATGACAATATTAAGTGAATGAATACTAATATAATTAAATGGGGAAATGAAAAATCAAAACTGAAATTGAAAATATGTGAATAGAACTATACGTGTAAGATTATGAAATGATATAATATATGATGATGTTTTAGTTGTTGTTAATGTATTTATCCTTGATAGTCCAAATGTTAAATAATGATTAAGTTTTTAAGATTATATGAAAAATTGAGTCAATTCTTATACTATTATACTTTTAAGATTTAAAGTTGGTTGATATTTGAATTAATTTTTTTTTCTTTTGTTTTTTTAATTTTTTATTTTTCAGCAATTTTATTTATAGACTATTGTAATTTTAAGACATAGACAAGGCAAGAGACAAAGAAGAGATATATAAGTTTACTTACATTAATACCCACAATTTAGAAAGACGTTTATATGAGGTATATCTTTTAATGAGATATTTAATTTATCTACTAACCATCTCGTAAATTAATTATAGTCAAATGTAATGTCTTAAATCTAACTGTAATATATTCAATCTTACTATCTTCAAATACTCGATCAATCTCACTCTAAAACATATACTATTTATTAATGAAGGGGTCCGATTTAATCCCTTACAGAACCAGTCGAGGATTGAAAAGAAAATTGTTCTAAATTGTCACTTGAAACTTTCTGAATCAAATTTATTAGTATTTAGTATTTAGACGTGAATCAGAAAAAAATATTATATAATCTTTCTAAACTATTACAAAATATTATTTTACAACCAAACACAACACATTATCAATTCACATTCCTAACACCACATTTCACCAAAAATATATACTCACCCAATAAATGAAATGTCAACGGACTTAAAACCAAACCAACTAGTATACGCCTACCACGGTCCACTAATTTATGAAGCCAAAATCGTCAAAATTAAAAAATCAACAGATTCATTTATAATAAATAATGATTTACAACATGAAACATTAGAACAAAACCCAAAATATAAACCTGGAAATTGGTCTTCGGATACTACGGTTTATTTTTTACATTATCAAGGTTGGAATTCTAAATGGGATGAATGGGTTTCAATTGATAGAATTATGGAAATTAATGAAGAAAATAAATTTAAAAAATCTGAATTAGAACAATTAACTAAAAAGAAAAGAGTTAAAAAGGAAGAACCAACACCAACTTCTAAAGATAAGAATAATAATAATAATATTAATAATAATGGATCAAAAAGATCCAAAACAATATCTTCATCAAGTTCAACTACTTCATCAAATGATCCTATAAAAAAACCAATTAAAAAAAATATAACTATAAATTTAAAATTCCCACCAGAATTAAAATATCTTTTAGTTAATGATTGGCAATATATAACAAAAGATAAAAAATTAGTTACATTACCAGTCCCACCATCAAATTCAGTTTTTCAAATCCTACAAACCTATAAAATCCAAAGAATTCCACAATTACAAAAACATCAAATTTCAATACTTGAAGAAATTCTAACAGGATTAGAAATTTATTTTAATAAATCCCTAAGTTTAATTCTTTTGTATAAATATGAAAATCTTCAATATTTAAATTTATTAAAAGATAATTTGATAAATTCAGGTCAAAAACAAAGTAAAATTTATGGAGTAGAACATTTATTAAGATTATTAGTTTCATTTCCTGGTTTAATAAGTACAACAACTATGGATTCTATTTCTATAAATGTATTAATTTCAGAATTTGAAAATTTATTAGTTTATTTAAAAAATAATTTATCAAATTATCAAAATGAATATTATTATACTTCACCACAATATGATGCATTAGCTAGATCATAAAATGAAGTTAAAAAATTGATAATTTGTTATGAAGTACTTTATTTTGATGAAAAATCTTTTATTGGAGGTTATTAAATATATGTATATATATATATAAAGTGATTAATACATGCATAAATATATAAGAAACCTACCTTTTGATAATTTCAAAATCTTTTTAATTACACACAACACTATAACTAATATAATAAAACTATTTTATTTTCTTCTTTCTCCCTATTCTTGATCTTTTGAATCATTCTCCACTTCAATCTCGTCTTCAGCATCAGCTTCCCCTTCAACATCTTGTTCAGCTTCTTCACCAGCTTCTTCTTCATTCTCTTCTTCTTCTTCCTCAGCTTCTTCTTCTTCCTCGTCTTCTTCATCTTCTTCCTCATCTTCATCATCATTTTCATTATCCAAAGCGTCTAATGCAGCAAATCTATTAACATGTTGTTGAGTTTCAGATCTCTTGGAAGAATCTCTTTGAAGATCAGTACTTGAGGTGTTATTGTTCCCACTACTACTTGTTACATTAGTAAATGCATTTCTATCATTATTATTACGATTTGATCCACTTCTATCACTTAAATTGTTAGGTATATTTGAATTTGATCTACCAAACGATGGTGATTTTTTGAAAAATTGATTATTATTGTTTTGATTTTGTAATGATTGATTTGAAATTGATGATGAACCAAAACCAGAATCTCTTGAACCATAATGCAGATTAGATCTTTCATTTAAATTAGTACCAGTTTGATTATTATATCTTTTTTTAGATTTTTCTTTTTCTTGTTTTAATCTATTAATTTCTGCATCTCTATGTATAGCTTCTATTGTAGTTGGTTGAGCTTCTGTTTTAGAATTTGACCATTTACTTTTTCTTAAATCTTGTAAATCCATTAACATAAATTTAATTCTTGAACTTAATTTTACTTGATTTAATATAAGTTGAATATTATCAAAAACAATTTTAAGCATAGTTTTAGTTCTTTCATTTGCATCTAATTTTGGTCCAACTGTTTTTATTAATTGTGCTAAATTTTCTAAACTATCTTCACTTGGATCCGTAGTATTATTACATTGATCTTTTAAACATACATAAATGACTTGATCATTTAACATATTTAAATTGTATAAATGTCCAATAAATTTCACCAACCCTAAACCTCTTCTTTTAGCAGCTGCCATTGCATAATATTCATCACTCATCATTTCAGGTTCTAATGGTGATCCATCATCGTTTGTAGGTAATTTATCACTCCAACCTTTTTCATATTCTTCTTGACATGTAGCCAATAATACTCTTCTTGCTAATGCTCCACCAGCAGGGTGAGTACCATCTTTTAAAGTACTTGATTCATCAGTAATTTCAGGTAAAATATTTTGAGTCATCTTAGCACAAAATTTAGCATACATTTCTGACCAATATGGTTCATCACATGCCTTTTGGAATGTTAATGATATGGTTTGTTTAATAGTTGCTGCATCTTTTTCCCATTTTGATTGTTTTGTTATATCTAACATTTCATCAGTAATAGCAGTAAACATTTCCAAAGTTAATTTATTTAATAATGATTTAATCTTTCTTTCAACATCTTCTTTTTCTAATATTACACTACCATCTTCTGCATAACGTACTTCAACTTTTGTTTGTCTTGATCTTGGAACCCATCTATTTGCAGATTTTTCCAAGGGTTTAACTTCTTCAACTGGTTTGTTTGCTTTTGCAATTTCTTCTTCTGTCTTTTCACGCATATCTGGACCACCTCTAGTATTTGTACCTCTTTTACTTGGTGCACCACCTTTTCTTGTTGATTTATCTCTACTTGAAGTTCCTCTTCTTTTTGAACCACTTCTTGAATTTTGTCTACTATTATCAAAATTTGCTTGTGCTCCCAAGATTCCCTTACCACCATGTGGTGCATTAAATCTTGTATTCATACTACTTGGTTGTCTTTGACCAGCACCTAAATTGTTACGCATTGAACTATCTCTTGTTGAACCAGAACGTTTAAACCCACCTGAACCACCTTGTTGTTGTTGACTTAAATCCATAAATTCATATCTTGTTTTAAAAGGAGCATCAATTGGATATTGTATAACATCCCTAAATTGAATTAAGAATTGAGGATCATATCTATATTTTTTAGCAGAAATTTGTTTTGTTCCATCAACACCTTTAATGTTTTCTGGATAACTAGTTTCTAAAATGTTGTTAATTATACTAACTTCATTTAATTTTTCTAAAAATTGAGTAATTGTAAATTCTGGAGTTGTTGATGCAGTTGTAGTAGAATCAGTTGTTGAGGAAGTGGTATCTTCTGATTCTTTTGATCCTACTTGAGGTTGTTCTTGTGATGATTCTTCTGGTTTCTCTTGTGGCGATTCCTTTGAATCTGTTGATGGCTCTTCTACTTTGACTTCATCTTTAGTTTCTTGTGGTGTTTCTTTTGGCTCTTCAGCTCTAGATTCTTCTTTTGGTTCTTCTTTTGGTTCCTCTTTTGGTTCCTCTTTTGGTTCCTCTTTTGGTTCTTCAACTTTTGATTCTTCTTTCGGTTCTTCAACTATTGACTCTTCTTTAGCCTCTTCTTTTGGTTCTTCAGTAGAGTTCTTCACAACTTCATCAGATTTGGTTTCTGGTTCTTTGACTTCTGGTGTAGGTTCAGCTTTTACTTCTTCCTTAGTTGGTTTTACTTCTTCTTCAGTCTCTTCAACTTTCTTTGGCTCTTCTCTTGGCTCTTCTTTCTTTGTCTCTACTACTAATTCTGCAGGCTTTTCTTGTTTTTCTTTTGCAGCAGCGGCAGCAGCAGCTCTTTCTCTAATTTTTCTTTTAAACTCTTCAGCAGCAGAAAGTCCTGGTTTAGCTACTGGAGTTTCAGTTGTTGTAGTTGTGGTTGAAGTTGTAGTAGCAGGAGAAGCAACATTTGATTCAGGAGTTGATAAAGATGCCTTTGAAGTAGTTGTAGGCTCCTTACTTTCTGATGTGGTGTTAATATTATTTATAGCAGGAGAAGCATTTTTAATAAAAGGAGATGCAATTGGTGTTGAAGAAGCAGTTTTTTTCTTTTTATCTTCTAAATCAACAGGTTTACCATCTTTTGTAGTTAATTTAACTCTTGCAACAGGAGGAGTTCTTAATTGTTGATGTTGATGTTGTGGTGTTGAATTTGTTGAATTATTAGAACTAACATTAATATTATTAATATTACCATTTTGTTGAGGTAAATAATTTGGAGTTTGTTGTTGAGTACTATAAGGAATTGGTTGAACATACATTGCTGGAGGATAATAACTATATGCTCCATACATTGGTGTACCACCATAAACAAAATTTCCATATTGTTGTTGTTGTTGTTGATTTGGATCTTGTTGAAGATTATGATGAGAATAATTTACTTTCGAGTTACTAAACAGTTTCCTATGACCTGGACCAGATTGATTATTTTGATTGTTACTATTATATTTTGGATTATTGTTTTGATTATATGACCCTTGTCTATTACCAGAATAATGTTTATTATTTGGATTATTATTATATTGATTCTTATTATTGTTATTGTAATAATAATTTGAATTTCCATTATAATTAGTATACTGTTGCTGCTGTTGCTGATTGTAGTTATTGTATTGTTGTTGTTGTTGTTGTTGTTGATATTGTTGATTTCCTGGATTATAACTTGAATTTATAGAATTTTGAGATTGATGTTGTTGATGATGATGTTGATAATCAGGTCTATCAGGTCTTGAATCCATTGATGATGAACTTGATTTACTAACATGATGATCTTTTGAATCTGAATTAGCTATTTGATTGCTATTGTTCTTTAAATCATTTGATGAAGATGATGATGTTGTAGATTTAATATTATTTAATGATTTATCATCTATTGAATTAACATTTTGATTTGATTTTTTATCAATATTAGTATCAGACATAATTTATATAAATCAATATATATATATATACTAATGATACAAATGTCTATTGATTAAATATGAATAAAAATGAAAGACAACTACTTCTTGAAATAGGGTTGTCTTTTTTAATTCCTATAAAAAGTATAAATCTGATATGTTAAATTTTTTTTTTTTTTTTTTTTTTTTTTTGTAGGTGGACTATTAATTTTAATTTATTGTATGGTGCTACACTTAAATTTATAAGTAAAGTACAATAGTAACGAAAAAAAAATTTTATTGTCATATAGACTAAAAATCAGACACGAAACTTAGATTTAGTGTAATTACATTATTTTAATTAAAGAATAATTCCGATATTGATCTAAGAGATTAACGATCTATCTACTAATAATGCTTAGGTCAACGACAAAATTTCTAAAATAACCAATTGAAGTCTTTGTTGAGATTCAAAGATTAAAAGTTATTGATTTTTCAATTAGGTCTCTGAGCCCAAAATTTGGGTGACCACAAAATACTGGTTAAATTCAATTCTAGGCCGATTTAACCCATTTTTGAGTACTGAATTTCTCTAATGTAGTATCTAATGTATATTTATCCATTTTTAAATGAACTATAAAATAATCTAATCATTAATCCCAAAATTAATGTAAAAAATGAATATATAATTATTCCATCTTTTAAAGATTCAACTTGATAACAACTTATAATAATATCCTCATTAGATTCTTTTGGTTTTGTGGGTTTAGTTTTAGATTTTGATGAATCTTGATCGGTCTCATCTTTATTAGAATTTTCTTCTTTTTGATCTTTTTCTACTTCACATAATTTTGAATCTTTTGATAAACAATATTCTTTTGTACATTCTCCACATTTGTTTACTTTTGTTATTATTGTTTTAGCATTATTACATTGACATTTACAATATAATTGATAACAATTAACCGTTATTAATGTTGAAATGAATATTATTAAAATGTTTAATAGTCTCATGATTTATTAGCAATTCTTTTTGTGATGATCTAAGAAGCAATTAATAATTAATATAGCAATATTTTATATCATCATCTTTTAGTCTTTAGGAAGTGTACACTCCTTGTTCGGATTTTAAATTTAAAGTTGGTATGTTATTTGAATGAATTAGATATTGAGCTCCCAAGACTTCAAATATTTGATTTGATTCACACGACAATTTTTTTTTAATAGACATCAAATTATTGATTTTTGGTTCCTGTATATAAAACATGATACATATTGAAATATTTGAAGTTCAAATTGATGGCAACACAATAAGTAGTTACAACAACAATATCAAATCAATTATACAACCCATATTTTCCACATACAATTAACGTAATCTTCATCATAAATTCTTCAAAAAAATCATAATTAACAATGACTTCAGTAATTGATAAACCATACGTACATGAAGGTGGAATTCGACCATATTATGAACAACAAATTCAAAATACAGAAATAGAGATACAACAAACAACTCAAAATTTACGTAGATTAGAAGCTCAAAGAAATAAATTAAATAATAATGTAAGACAATTAAAAGATGAATTAAGATTATTACAAGAACCTGGATCATTTGTTGGTGAAGTTATAAAAGTAATGGGATTAAAAAAAGTATTAGTAAAAATTCATCCAGAAGGTAAATATATAGTCAATATTACAAAAGATATAGATGTTAAAAAATTAACACCATCAATAAGAGTATGTTTAAAAGCTGATAGTCATGATCTTTATAAAATTTTACCAAATAAAATAGATCCATTAGTTTCATTAATGATGGTTGAAAAAGTACCTGATTCAACTTATGATATGGTTGGTGGATTAGATAAACAAATTAAAGAAATTAAAGAAGTTATTGAATTACCTGTGAAATATCCTGAATTATTTACAAGTTTAGGAATTGCTCAACCAAAAGGTGTTATATTATATGGTCCACCAGGTACAGGAAAAACATTATTAGCAAGAGCAGTAGCTCATCATACAGAATGTAAATTTATAAGAGTTTCTGGATCAGAATTAGTACAAAAATATATTGGTGAAGGTTCAAGAATGGTCAGAGAATTATTCGTAATGGCAAGAGAACATGCACCATCAATTATATTTATGGATGAAATTGATTCTATTGGATCTTCTAGAGTTGAAGGTTCTTCTGGTGGTGATTCAGAAGTTCAAAGAACAATGTTGGAATTATTAAATCAATTAGATGGATTTGAAAGTTCAAAAGATATTAAAATAATAATGGCAACAAATAGATTAGATATCTTGGATCCAGCACTTTTAAGACCAGGTAGAATAGATAGAAAAATAGAATTTCCTGCACCTACATTACAAGCAAGAACAGATATTTTAAAAATTCATTCAAGATCAATGAATTTAACAAGAGGTATAAATTTAAAAAAAATTGCAGAAAAAATGAATGGATGTTCTGGAGCTGATGTTAAAGGTGTTTGTACAGAAGCTGGGATGTATGCATTAAGAGAAAGAAGAATTCATGTAACTCAAGAAGATTTTGAATTAGCTGTTGCTAAAGTAATGTCAAAAAGTAATGAAGAAGGTGTTTCTTTACAAAAATTATTTAAATAGTCTTATTTATTTTGTTATTGTTATATAAACACTTTATGAATAATAAATTTGTATCCTTTTGAAAGAATGTATTTACACCTAAAGCTTTAATGTCATTAACATTATATGAGCTGTAGGTATTAAATATTGTGCTGTTCTTTATAATTCTATATACATTTGAAAAATCGCTACCTGAAATCGGAAACACCAAATTGTGATATTTTCAATATTTAATCAAAAGACTATTACACAAGTTATTTGGTAACATTAACTAACGAAAATATTACTCAAATAAGTTAATAATGAGACTTGATCTACAGCATCTATTTACATTTTTCATACTAAACATAGCATTGACAATCTCCCAAACACCACAAGCATTAACATCAAAAATAAAAGAAGTTGAATCATTATTTACAACTCAAGGTCCAACATCAAACGTCCTTGATCAATTTGATTCAATTATAAATGAAGTGAAATCAAATGTTTCAGAGAACTCACTGGAATTAGAAAGATCATTAGCTCAATTGTTATTCAAAAGAGCATTAATTCAAATAAATTTGAATAAAGATAATGGTGCAATTATAGATTTAAAAGATGTATTAAAAATTGATCCATTAATGAAAACAGCAAGAAATAAATTAATTGATTTATTAATACATCGTGGAGATATAGAAAGTTTGGAACATTTAATTACTAATCAAGATAATTCACACGTACGAGAAATTATTCAATTATATAATCATCATTTATCTACTGCTCAATCACTTATAAATGAAGGTAAATATGAAGAAAGTATTGATGAATTAAATAATCTTTTGATTATAAGTAAGTCTAATTATGAAGTATACGAGTTATTTTTGAAAGCAGTTTTGGAAATTTATAAAATTGATCCAACTAAACAAATTAAAATTATTGATGAAGAAATGAATATAAATAAAGTAGTGATTAGGGTACTACAACAATTAATAAAATTACAACCAGTGAAAAATTTAAAAAATTATTCAATACTATCAAACTTCCTACTATATACTGGTGTTCAATTTGATCAAGCTTATAAAACCGTCAAAAATTGTTTAAGAATGGATAATGATTTTAGAGAATGTGGAGAACTATCAAAATTTTATTCAAGATTTCAAATTTTTTTACAACAATTAGAAAATTATTCAATTTTCATTGGTCATTTATATCCAAACTTACAAACAAATGATCAAATAAATATGGATGATGAAGATTTGGAAAATTATCAATTTATTTGGAAAAATTTAAATCAATTTTTATTTCATGATGAATTGAAACTTAGTAAAGTTGAAAAACGCAAGAATCTTAAAATTAAAAACAACTATGAGTACTTATTACAAAAAGGTGATGAATTTATAAAAGAATTTACACCATCTTCAAAACCAGATGAATTATTATTTATACAAGATTTAAATAAGTTATCATGTGAATCATACATTCAAATAGGTTCAAAATCAACAATATGTAATAAGTTCAAAAATAACCCAACTCCATTTTTACCACAATTAATACCAGAAATAGATAAATTATTAAAACAAAAAAGATACGATCAAGTTGATTCAATAATGCAAAAATTCAACAAGAATATTCAAAAAACTTCACTTTTCAAACAACGTTACAGTAAAGTAGAAACGTACAAACAAAAACAACATCAAGAAAGAATGAAACAACAACAACAACAACAACAGCAACAATATCAACAACATCAACAACAACAACAACAAAGATTCAACCAGCAACAACAATTTAGACAACAACAACCAAAAAAACCAGCACACGATTACTATAAAATACTAGATATCCCAAAAGATGCAGATGATAAAACTATTAAAAAGGGATATCGTACACAAACATTAAAATATCATCCAGATAAATATAAAGGAAAAGATTTAACACCAGAACAAATTGAACAAAAAATGCAAGATATAAATAAAGCTTATGAAATTTTATCTAATCCAGAATTAAGACAAAGATTCGATAATGGAGATGATCCAAATGATCCTTTAACTAATGGACAATCTCAACCACAATGGGCATCTCAAAGATCTGGTGGTTTTGGTGGTAGTGGTGGTGGTCATCAACAATTTCAATTTAATTTTGGTGGTAATGGCGGTGGTGGTGGTGGAGATTTTTTTCAACAATTTTTTGGAAATATGAATGGTAATAGAGGTAATAATAGAGGTGGGTTTGGTGGAAATGCCAAATCTAATCCTTTTGGTGGTCATCATCAAAAAGTTAAGATTAAAAAGAATAAAAAAAATACATAAATAGATTCTAAAGTAATAAATCGTATATACATAGTAAAAAAATAATGAATTAACTTTTAGACTCAAACTCAACACGGCTTTTAAACCTAAATGGTATTAAAAATCTCAATTTTTCAGAGCCGTTTGAAAATCTAACCGTTTTTTTGAAGTATTTTCGTGTTGAGATTGAAATAAAACATTGACTCGGTTTTACATAACTAATGTGGCGATCTAAGAGATAAGATAAAGAGACACAAAAATAATCAGAAAAATATTAGTCAGGGAAATTTAAGGAAACTACAAAAGAAGTCCAAAAATAATTCAACAAAACCTTTTACTTTATTTCTTTTCACTAAATTATTCCTATTATTTATTATTCATTATGAAAGCATCGGTCTTATTATCATTATCAGTTGCATTAACTAGTACAAATGCTTTACCAGCTTTAACATTTTGGAATAAAATCACTAATCCACAACAACACGTTTTAATAAATGAAGTACAACAACAACAAGAACAAGAAACTTTTGAATTAAATATTAATGAAGAATTATCTATACCTTATGAAGATAAAGATTCAATAATAATTGAAAATTTTATAGATGAAACTAAATATAATAAATTACCAGAAATAAATACTACCATTTTACAATCATTAATTCAGGAACAAAATTTAAAATCAAGAGCTGAAGATTTATATAAAGTTGCAACTTATTCAACTAAAAAATATGGTCATCCAACAAGAGTCATTGGTTCACCAGGTCATTGGGCAACTGTTCGTTATATAATTTCAGAATTAAATAAATTAGGTGGATACTACAACATCAAGACTCAAAGTTTTAATGCAACTGATGGTCATGTTGAATCTTTTTCATTATTAATCGATGGTATAAAACCAAAATCATTATTAGCATTAGCTTTAACTCCTCCAACACCAAATAAAACTCCAATTAATGGTAATTTAGTATTAGTTGGTGCTAATGGTTGTAAAATTGAAGATTATCCAGCATTTGCTAAAGATAATATTGTATTGATAAAAAGAGGTGAATGTTCATTTGGTGATAAATCAAGAGTTGCTGGAAGATTTGGAGCAAAAGGAGCAATAATTTATGATTCAAATGGTGCAATACAAGGAACTTTAGGTTCACCAAATGGAGAAGAAGTTCCTACATTATCAGTAGATGAAAAAGATGTTGATGAATATATCAAAATTTTACAAAAGGATCCAAATCATGAATTTGAAACTACTTTATATATTGATTCTTATGTTAAAAATATAACTACTATAAATGTTATTGCTGATTCTGTATTTGGAGATCATGATAATATTGTTTCCTTGGGAGCTCATTCTGATTCTGTTGCTGCTGGCCCTGGTATTAATGATGATGGGTCCGGTACTATATCATTATTAGAAGTTGCAAAACAATTAACAAAATTTAAATTAAATAATGCTGTAAGATTTGCTTGGTGGAGTGGAGAAGAAGAAGGTTTATTAGGAAGTTCGTATTACGCTGATAATTTATCCAAACATGATAATTCAAAAATAAGATTATTTATGGATTATGATATGATGGCATCACCAAATTATGAATATGAAATTTATAATGCAAATAATAAAGATCATCCAGATGGTAGTGGTAATTTAAAAGAATTATATATTGAATGGTATAAAGAAAAAGGTTTAAATTATACATTTGTACCATTTGATGGTAGATCAGATTATGTTGGGTTTATAAATCATGGTATACCAGCAGGTGGAATAGCTACTGGTGCTGAAGGTGTAAAAGATTCAAAATCACAAGAAAAATTTGGAGGTTCAGTTAATAAATGGTTTGATCCTTGTTATCATCAATTATGTGATGATTTAACTAATCCAAATTATGAAGCTTGGAAATTAAATACTCAATTAATTGCTCATTCTGTTGCTGTTTATTCAAAGTCTTTTGATGGATTTCCTAAAAGAAAATTGGATAATGATAAAGTTGTTTTAAGTAGTATTGATAAACCTGAAGGAGGTGAATTATTTGTTAGAAGAGGTCATAATTATATTATTTGATAAACCATATATTTTATAAGTATAGATTATTAGATTAGATTATTTAAGAACTAGAATATTAGATCATGTATTTAAATATTAATTTATGCATTACATTTTCAGTTTAATTATAGACTTATGCGTTGAGCTTTACAACATTAAATGATATTGTTTCATTTTTATATCAAATACTAAGGAAATTAATAAATATTTTGTGTTGAGAAAAAACTCCGCTTTTGTGATTTGTTTCACTTTATAAAATTACTACACAATAACAAAAAGTAATAAATCATCAATCGTCCAATCATTAGATTCATTGAATTGAGTTGATTGCCCTTAATGTCAGTAGAGTTAATTGCTTAAAGAATCTCAAAAAAAATACTATAAAAAAATACAAGAATCAAAAGTATTAAAAAAACATACGTTTAATAAACATGACTTTAATTTTTATATAAAAATCTCTCCACTTATTTTTTTCTTTTATACTACTTAAATAGTCCTCACACGACCTTTCAAGTATAATATACCCCCTTAATTTAATCTACTAATTAAAAGAACATACAACATACCAAAAAAAAAGAGGAGACTTTTTTAATCTAATATTAAATTTTCTTACGATTGCAACACTTTTTCGCCAACTGATATATATATAGATCGAACCCTCCCCTTTTTTCTCAACATTCTTTTCTTTTTCCTTTTTTTTACAACCAAATTGAATATTAGTATTTCACAACTACAAATATATAGTATAAATACTAATAGAATACAATATAAATAAGTAACGTATAATATATTTCTATAAATAATTAGTGTTGCCAAAAAAAAGTATACTAACCACCACCAAAGTTTTAAAACGTCTTATCAAATTATATAACAACAACAACTTTTAATTATGGGTAAAAAATCAAAAAAGGCTTTTGAATCATTTGATATTAATGAAGTAAAACCATTGGATCATTTAACTGCTGTTCCCAAATCAAGAACATCATCAATTACATCAATTGAATCTGGTGAAGGATTAATTTCAAGAGTTGTTGAACCAGCAAGTAAACGTCAATTTGATGATTTGACTGAATTTGAAGCTTATATATACACACAAACTATGAGTGGTGATTATGATTGGACTCATGCTGCATTAAGTTATTATCCACCTTTTATTTTAAAAGAATGTCAAAATAATTTAGAAAAGATTAAACCAACAAATAATAAAAATTCAAAAAAATTTAGAAGAAATTTACAACATCATATTCAAAAACATCTTATTAAGGATTTAGAAAAATGTTGTGGTTATGAATTGAATTTTGATAAAGGTGAAGTTGTTGAAACTCCAAATAAATTGATGTGGAGATTTAAAGATGAATCTGATCATGGATTTAGTAAAGAAGAAGAAGATTTATATGATAGACATTGGAAATTGGAATTAGAAGTTTCTTGTACTAATGAATCTGCAATGGTTGATGTTGAATATAAATCAATTCCAATTTTATAAATTTACAAGAGTAAAACATTGTTTTAGAGGAAAAAGAAGAGCCTAAATTTTAGAAATTATAAAGTTTTTTTCCTTTATATACTTGGTAGATTTTGGTGGTTTTTTTTTTTACAATTGTTTTTTATTTTTTGTTTGTTGGTTTACCCCTTAAAGTGGTTGCTAATTTTTTGATGTGTCCTATGTTTTTATGAATTTATGCTTTATCTTCCTTTCTTCTCCTTTTTTTTTGAATACTATCTACATAGTTTTGTTGGTTGTTTAATGAAAAATTTAAAATTTGTTTATCTCAAAATTAATGGTTGTAGATTTTTTAATTATTATTTGAATTTGTCGTAAATTGTAAATTGAAAAAGCTGGGGTAATGAAATACGAGGAAAAAATAGTTAATGTTACATGGGATCATCGATTTACTTTGAATCTTTGATAAACTTTACTTTTATTCGTCAACTTATCAGGAACTCACTCTTTTTCAAAACTTGAAATTTGCTACTCTATCTCTGTCAATTTCACAACTGATAAATTAATTAAAAACATATTAAACTTCATCAATGATAAGATAGTCAAGAATAAACCTAATCTTACAAATGATAAATTACTTAAAAGTATATTAAACTCAACCAATGATAAAAATTAGTCAAGAAAAGTCTAATCATACAAATGATAAAACAATTAAGGATCAACTAAAATCCACCAATGGAAAGATAGTTGAAAATATTTTAATCAATGTAAAATAGTTAAAAAATAAGATTAGCAAATAATTAGATAGCTGAGAAATATTGAACCAAGCAGATAACAAGAAAATTGAGAAAAGGTTAAATTGAGCCAATTGAGAATAAATATTAAATGAAAAGAACAAGGAAAGATTTTAATATAAATATAGATGAAATAATCCCAAAAATTACAAAAAGATTTTTAGAAAAATTTTATATAGAAGAAGAATAAGAGAATTCAACTAATCCAAGAATAAATCAATAATCAATCAATAATCAATCAATAAGTTCATCAATCATCAATCCAATCATAACAGTTAACTATACCTTTAACAAACGTTATAGACTGTATCTTGTATTAATTATATAATTATTATTATGTATGTATTTCCATAAAGTCTTTGTCCTCCAAAAAATTTGTATAATCATCATTATCAATCCAATTATAATAGTTAAGTATACCTTTAATAAACGTTATAAACTGTATCTTGTATTAATTATATTATTATCATCAGTAATATTACCCCTTAATTATTATTTAAATATTATTTTTCAATCAGATTACTGATTTTTCTGTACAAATTACCTGCTATTTAATCGAAAGCATACAAACGGATTTATACATATAGTTTACTACCGGATTGGTTTGAAATAAGTTTTTAAACAACGTAGCTCAAGATTAAAGTTAAAAGAGAGTGACTCAAATGTACACTTTTACAAGAGCTTTAAGCTTTAAGTTTTTAACAACATGATCAAATGACTAATGAAACTTAAACTTTAAACTTATATTACAAGCGAAATCAAAGGGAATGATAACAACGTTATTTAATCTGAAAATCGTTAGGCTAGATTGTAATTCAAATTCACAATTATTATCGCGTCCTAAAAATTTCAGATTTTCTGACTAAAACTTCGAACCAAATTGTATTATTTAATTGTAGTTTTTGAATAATAAGTGTTAATAATTATTTCTCTTATTTCTCTCTCTCTCCACATACATTATAATTATTATATACAGTATTATATAATAATATCAAATTAATTTTTGACATGTGATCTTTAATTATTTACCGTGGAAATTTTTAAAAGTATTACGCGTCAAATTAGAAATCAACAAATTAAAATTAAAAACAAAATAAAATTAAAATAAAAAAACAAACCCCAGGTTTTTTCTTAAAAAGAATATATATATATACAATCAAATAACCAATCAATAGATCAAACTACCAATCGTATCTATATTCTCAATCTTTACAAATTAATTCGATCTTATACTAAGAGAAATCAACCAAAATAATATGTCTGATACAGAAGAAATTGCTCATGCAATTGCTGGAGCAGGAGGTGGAGCTTTATCAATGATTGTAACATATCCATTAGTTACATTATCAACATTAGCACAAACAAAAGCTAAAAAAAAAGAAGAAATTGAATCAAAATTAACAAAAGAACAACAAATACAACAAGCAAAGGAAAATTCAAAATTATCAATAAATGAAAAAATTTTAAAATCAATCAAAACAAATAGTTCATATATTGCAGCAAAAGAAATTATTCAAGAAAAGGGAATATTTGGTTTATATTCAGGTTTAGAAAGTGCTATATATGGAATAACATTAACTAATTTCATATATTATTATTTTTATGAATTAACTTCAAATATTTTTTTAAAAGCTAATAAAGTAAGTAATAAAAGAAAAACCGGTGGATTAAGTACTTTCCAATCTATTATTACTGGAGCTATTGCAGGAGCTATAACATGTATTGGATCTAATCCATTTTGGGTTGCAAATACAAGAATGATGACTGAAAAGAAATCAAAACAATCTAATGGAGAACCTGTCAAATCAAATTCTACTTTTAGAACTATATTAGATATTATTGAACAAGATGGTATATCAACATTATTTGCAGGAGTTTTACCTGCTTTAGTATTAGTTATAAATCCAATAATTCAATATACTATATTTGAACAAATTAAAAATATAATTATATTAAATGGTGGACAAAAATCATTTACTGCAATAAAAGCATTTTTTATAGGAGCATTTGGTAAATTAATAGCAACAAGTTTAACTTATCCATATATTACTTTAAAATCAAGAATGCATATAAGAAAAAAAAAATTACAAGAAATTGAAAAAACTAATACCACTAAAGAAAAAAATTTATCAATGATTCAAGAAATTAAAAAAATTATTAATGAAGAAGGTATTGAAGGATTATATGGTGGATTAATTGTTAAATTAATTCAAAGTATTTCAACTGCTGCTTTTTTATTTTATTTTAAAGAAGAATTATTAACTGGTAGTATTAAATTAGTTGAAATTATTAAATTATTAAGTTTAAGAAAAAATAATAATAAAGTTGTTTCATCTTATAGTAATTAATTAATCTGCTTCTTTAAAGTGTTTGAACTAAACATGACAAGGGTTGAGGGTTTCAAAGGACAGTATATAGATGAATTTCTGATTTAATAAATAGATAAGTTATATACTCAAATTAATTGAATGTAAGGAAGAAGAAAAAATAAGCTGTTTAAGTTTGTATTTTGAAATCAATTATAATATTAAGACAAAATGAAGCAAAGCACACAAAATTTTTATTAATTTGTACTTCTCCTTACACTATTAATTGACTCGATTGTTGCATCGATTTTTAAGGTATGAAGATTCTTGACTCTTTATTATAAATGATATTAGCAATGACAAAGGTTATAATCAATTTTAACAGTAATACATTTTATTGTTTGGTTACCAATATCATAATCAAAGTATTACATAATACAATACACTGAATATTACATAATATATTACATAATAAAATATAAACAAATAACAAATAACAAAATAATTGATGCCGTAAAAAACGTAAAAAATTAAATCCCGAATTGCCGTGTACAATTTCTTAAATTTTTATTTATTACTGCAAAAATACTTAACCGAAATAATGTATTAATTAAACACTGTGCTATTAATAGATTTTTGATGCCGTACAAATTGTTCTAAATTAAAATCAATTTTTATTCCTCCAATTTATTATTCATCATTTGACTCCCTTCTTGATCAAAGTGACGTAAATTTATGCCATTACTTGTTGATCATTAAATAATTTAAGATTAATTATTAAATCTTTGATAAATTAAATTCGTAAATTGATTTGATATTATTTGTTATAGAAAATAATAAAATTTCAATATTTTTTATTTGCCCGGCAATTGAAATCGGTATTTCATTAATATTACAATTTTTTGCAACAGATTTTATTTGATATTCTCATAAAATACAACTTCTTTTCATCAACTATATAAGCAACTACTAAAGCAATCCACTTTAATCTTTCAATCTATCAAAAGATCCATTACACAAATAGATTATGAATGATGGAGTATCACAAACAAATCCAGGATCACCAAATACATCAATATCACCACCTACAAGTAGAATTACTGGTGATTCAACATTAAGTACATTAAGTACAATTTCACAAACTTCTACAACATCAACAACAAATTCATCAAGAAGAGTTGCAAGAAGAGCTTGTTTATCATGTCGTGAAAAAAAAATTAAATGTGATGGTGAACCAGTAAGTTCAATTACATCTGCTGATGGTATAAATAAAATTATACCAGAAAAAACTAGAATTTGTTCAAATTGTAAATTTTTAGATATAAAATGTATATTTGTACAAAGTAATCGTGGTGGGAGACGTAAAAGAAAAGATTTAGAAACGGGGGAAATTTTATCTATTGATGCAATTAAAAAATCAAAAATGTTAAATAATAATAATAATAATACTCAAGAAGAAAAAGAAGATTCTTCAATTGAAAGAGTTAGTTCATTTATATTAGATAATGAAAATTCAAGAAAAAAATTATCATCTCCTGTTCCATCAACTACAACTACTTATGAAAAACCTAAAATTGATACAAGATCAAGTTCAATAGATTATTCAAGAACAACTTTAGAAAGTCCAGAATCTAGATATTTAGATCCCAGAGACCCCCGGGGTCCATCATCAGGAGGACCACCACATTTCCATCATGGTCCTCCTTTCCCATTTCGTCATCCACCTCCACATCATCATGGTCCTCCTTCTTTTGGTCATCATCATCATGATTTTCCACCAGGACCTCCTCCACATCATGGACCACCTCATCATCATCCTCATGGTCCCCCACCACCTCATCATTTACCTCATCAACATCATTTCCAACATAGATCAGACTCAACTTCAGAAAATCAACTACCTTTACCTTCATTAACTAATTCGTATCCTTCAAATTCTTCACATTTCCCACCACGTCAACCACCTCATCATAAACATTTCCATCCCCCACCTCATCATCATCTTCATCCTCATGGACCACCTCCTCATCACCATCCTGGACCACCTCCTCATGTACATAATAGATTCTTCAATGGATTTGATCAACAACAATCTGATTTAACTGAAAGTTATGATAATTCATATTATGATTCAACGCCACCCATGGATAAACAATCAAATACCAATTCTGAGATTAGTTATAGATCAGGTATTACTACAAGTAATGATAGTCCTAAGCTGCAAACTGATGAAGCTCCTTTTAGTGATCATGAATTAGCAAAATATGAACTACCTAAATGGAATTCACTCAATATTTTAATTGATTATTATTACATTTATAATCAACCAAGTCATCAAATGTTTCCAGGAAAACAAATTTTTTTAAAAAATATATCATTAAATGTTGATAGTTCAATATTACATATAATGATTGCAACAATTTGTATATTAGCAAACAGGAAAAATCCAAATCTTAATATAAATTCAGATGAATCTTATTGGGTAGGTCAAATGGAAAAATATTGGGATAATTTAAATGGTTTTGGTATAATGGCATGTTTTAGATTACTTGCTAAATGTACATCATTTAGATTTAATATGTACCGAGTAAATCAATGTAATATTAAAATATTTGAAACAATATATGATAATAATTATATTGAAATTTACAGTCAAAAAAGATTTGAATTTAAAGAAAATGGAACTAAAAATTCATTATTTGGTACATCAAGACAATGTTATGAAAGAGAAACTATTTTAAGATTAATATGGACTTTTTATATTAATCATATAATTCTTTTAAGATTTAATCAAGGTAGACCATATTATAAATTATCTTCCATATTAGATGATTTTAAATTTGATTATGAAAGAGATCATTATTCCAATAATATCTTATTACCATTAAATGATATAGATTTCATGACTTTAAAACTTGTGAATAATAGAACAAGTTGGAAACAATTATATGAAAGAAATCATATACCATCAGATTTATCAAGTTTAATATTAGCTAGTAAAATATTTGAAAATTTATTAAGTAAATTATCTAATGATGATTTAACATTTGATAATTTAATAAGTTCAAATTCTTTTAATATTAATTTTGCTGAAAAAATATCAAATCAACATATAAACATTATAGATTCTAAAAAATTAATAGTTATAAATATAACTTATTGGTTTGCTAACCTAATATTACGTGTGGGTGAAGTATTACAATATAATTTTTTCATTTATGAAGTTATGAAATTTAAAATGTGTAAATATGAATTTAGAAGAAATACAGCTCAACAACAAGATACAACAAAAGATTTATTTACACCATTAATATGTGATGAATTTTTAGATACTAATAATTTAACTCAACAATTACAAAATTTTAAAACAAATCAATGGATAAGTTTAATTGAATTAACAAAAGCATTAAGTGGATTTGTTTCATTACTAGAAATATGTCCATCAAAAGAATATAATCATTATTCAGTTGTTGTAGGACCAACTTCAATCACAAACTTAACAGCAGATTCAAAATCAAATTTCAGAGATGTTATAAGTAATCCCATAGAATGGTATGATGCTCCAGAACTTCAATCAACAGTTAAAGAATCATGGAATAAATTCCCACAATATACATTATCATTTTCAACTGCATTTTTATCAGTTGCTTGTAGTTTAGCAGTACTTACAAAATACCTTAGATTATCTTCACATACCCAAAATAAAAATTTAATTGTTGAATTAATAGAAACTGGTGAAATTATTGAAATTCCTCATATTGTTGATGGTTGGATATCTAAAAATTTTAATTCAATAAATTTATCAAGTAAAGTTTCATCACTTTGTGAATTTATAAAATACAAATTATATTATAGTAATGAAGAAGTTATGCATGATTCTGTTAAAAGAATGAATAAATTAACTCAACATTTAGAAGAAATTTTATCAAGGTGAAAAAGAAGAACAATAATTTGTAAATATCATAATGAAATACATAATTTTCGTAAGTAAAATATGTGGTAACTTCTAACTCTTGACAAAACCCTTTAAATTATATTTATTTTCAAATTAACGCAAGCGAAAAATATATAACCTTTAATTTTTTTGTAATTTAATATAAACCCCACGTTTTTAATTTCAATATACCATTAATAAATTGAATGCAGCAATATATATAAGAACCAACCATATCCACAAAAAAACCCACATTTTCTAATTTCTACCAACTAGACTTCCTTCATTTCTCACTCCCTAAAAATGATCAACGTATTCAAACCATCAAAAGACATTCAATACAATAACAATTCTCAAATATTACAATACGATGGAAACTCCGCCAAAACACCAATATTACCGTTCAATTACACAATAGAAGGATTAACAAGGGATGTTTATCCAAAACCATTACATTCACATAATGATTATTGGAGAGCTCATCCATTATTTGATGCATTATCAATAGGTGCAGTTTCAATAGAAAGTGATATTTGGCATTTTCCTAAAAATTACACTTTACAAAGAACAACAACTGAAAGTACTGGTATTACTACTACCCCCAATGAAACTTTATATTTTAATAGTAATGAAGTATATGTTGGTCATAATCAAGTATTTTTACATCCAATAAATACATTATTTAATTTATATTTAAATCCAATTTATCAATTTTTAAGTTATTCAAATCCAAATTTTAAATTTATTGATGGTGATGGGAACCCATTATTAGGATCACAACAAAAACATTCATTATTTTACAATGATCCAGAACAACAAGTTTATTTATGGTTTGATTTTAAAACTTCTCCCAATGATACTTATGACGCATTAAAACCTTTATTACAACCATTTATAGATTCAAATTTCTTAACTTATTATAATACAACTGATGATTCATTACATCAAGGTCCCTTAGTATTAACCATCACAGGAAATTTACCAATTGGAAAAGTTAGTGAAGAAAAAATAAGGTATACCTTTTTAGACGGACCATTATCTTACTTCAACACATCAGCAAGTGATAACGAATTAAAAAACTGGTCAAAACTCTCTCAAGTAGCTAGTGGATCTTTACAAAGTCTTTTGGGAGACGATTACAATTCCACAATCAAGAATAATTTCACAGATCAACAAAAAACCAAACTTAAGTCAGTATTTGATAAAGCTCATACATATGGTTTGAAAACTAGAATATGGGGTGATATTACATGGCCTTGGAATTTAGTTGATTCTCATTTATTGGATTTATATCAAGCTGGTACTGATTTATTAAATGTTGATGATTTAAAAAGAGCAAGTGATTTGTTTTCTTGGACTATTACTAGAAATTAGAGATTTTATATAGAAAATATAGATTGGATTAAATTCGGTTTAATGTCAAAATATTTCCTTGCTCTAAAATATTTAACCTCTAAATTGCTTGAAATAGTCAATAATCAGAAAAACAATAATTATCAATCAGTCTATCATTAAGTCTATTATCATAATCTATACAAACTTTTAAAAATTCTTTTTCAACATCTCATAAGTATAAAAAATTAAAGCATTAGCAGGAATACAACGAATCATAGTAATACCCAACCCATTATATAAATTCAAAACACCACCTTTTTTAGTGATTAATTTTTTAAACTCTTTAAAAAAATCAGTACTTTGATGTTTATATTGAGTAGTGTTTAAAATATCATTAGTTTGAATATTTGACTTTATTGTATCTACTGGAAACATTGAAAAATTAAAAGTTATACCTGCCATTGCTCCACTAAATAATAATTGTAAATCTTTATTTTTTATAAATGGATCTTTTGAATTTTCAAATTTTTTATTTAAATATTCATAAGTACCAAACCATATAGATGATCCAACAACTTCTCTAATCATTGTAGAATTTAATCCATTCCATAATCCCAAAACTCCATTTTTCTTTAGTATATTTTTAATAATTGATGAATATGTGTGATTAACTTTTGAAGGTGGAGATTGCATGTTTACAACTTGTAATTGACATTTAACTAATTCAATAGGAGTCAATATAAAACTAGCCATAAATCCAGCAAACCCACCACTAATACATTGATTACTTAAACTTTCCAGTTTTAAAAAATTCATTGCAAAATTATAACTAGTAAATAAAATAGAAGTTTCCAAACATGCACCAAATAATGGAGCTTTTAAACCTTTATAAAACCCCAACACTCCTTCATTCTTAAATGTTTTTTCAATCATTTGAAAAGTTGAAATTGGTTGTGAATTATTAGATTGTAATCTAACTTTTATTGTATCAAGGGGAAATTCCACAAGTTTACCAATCATACCTGATATGGCACCATATGTGACTTCTTTTATAGGATGGATCTTATCATGTTGATGCTGTTTTGTATCATGTTCCATCTATTATAGTTGGTACCTTTTAGTTTTATGAAAAATCTGAAAAAATTTGGAACTTCAAAAAAAAAAAAGAAATAAAGTTTGTTGCAATGATTTGAAAAAATATTTAAGCGCCTGGATTACTATATTGGGAAGACCTAATAAACATAAATTAACCACATTTATAATTCTATATTACCCGTATTGGCCAAAACACTTCAAAGTGAGATTATCAAAGTGTTCAAAATATGAACTATGACGAAGATGTCCAAAGATCTATAGATCCACATGTATCATAATGTTTCTGATCTTGCTTTTTTGTCAATCGTTTTGTCTCAGAATCTACTTCGCCCCTCTATGATCATGTTGCCAAAATTGTAGAGCACTATAAGTGTCATAGGTCTATCACGTCTAATCATTAAAGTTAACAGAGTATTGATGGAGCTCAAAAAAAAATAGCATACAATAAAAATGAAAGCCCGACGCGGGACTCGAACCCGCAGCCTTGAGATTAAAAGTCTCACGCTCTAGCCGATTGAGCTAGCCAGGCTAAGTAATTTTACAATTGCTCCAAATCATTCAATTTGTTGTAAAAATATATGCTAGGTTTAATAAGAACCTTCATTTTCACGTGCTTTACACACCGTATATCACATGAATTCAGACATCTTAACATAAAACAAGGGCATTTTGATTAATTGTGTTTGAGATTATAAATGATCCAATGGTTATCTTTTGGTGATTCGAGAAATAATTGATTATAGTACCGTGTGTAATATCAGTTTATGTCATAAATTGGTCTTCTCTTTCACGAATGTAGTTGAAATTCTAATGTAGATACTTGCGGTAGTTTATGAATAATCATAATTGATCCTCAGATTTCCACTTATTTTGAACGAGAGATTGACTTGAAGCATGTTCATAACTCTTTGGGGCTTTGGTTGAGGCAAGTTGAGATATTCTGTCAAAAATTTAAAGAGCCTAGCTGGTATACTTTCAATGTGACTCTATTGGTGATTCTTTCACTAATAATTGACTTGAGTTGTTCTGGACTGTTATTACGTCTGATTTTTGACGGATGATAAAAAGATTGAAATTTCTTTTCATAATACAATCTATAGCTTTCGTATTCAATTACTTGCATTATAAATTTTTGTCTAGGATTATTCTCTATAGTTTTTGCAACCAAAAATGGTAAAATGTTAGGAGCAACAAAGTTAAAAAATACTTGTAAACTTCACACTTAGAAGAGTAGGAGAAAAAAGTCTCAAATTAATTACACTCAAAATTTTACAACAAACATGCTGATATATTTCTCACTATTCTAACATGTATATGTTAAAATTTTTCCTTCAATTTTTCTGAAATGAGACGATGGAGAAATGAGACGAACAAAAAGTAAATATTAAATATTTATCTACCAGCAAAAGCCAGATATAGACTATTAAAATAAATATATAAATAGTAAGACTCAACATTTTTATATTCCCTTTTGTATCATAGAGTAGAGATTTAGAAGAGTTATACTCTAATGTTATTTTGATCTTACAAATTTTAGCATTTATTTGTTCTCTTAGACTAAAAATTTAAACATGAAAGCTCAATCTTCATTTTAGATTAGAGAATAAGGGAATAATGATTTTAAATAAGAATGATATAATTTAAATACAAAATACAAAATAACGTATATTTAAATTAATGAAATTAGTCATTACTATTGATTTGAAGATGGATCGAATGATTGTTTTAAAATAAAATTGGACATCTTAATCAAAACACTACCATGTTTTGATACACTAAACATAGAAACTATCATGAAATACAAGATTACCTAGATTTATACTAAATATCGAGGTTATAATGAAATACAAAACACAAAATAACGTACCTTTAAATTTATTATTAACTATCACAATTGAATTGATTTTTTTTTTTTTTTTTTTATATTGAACTCATCAAATAATTATTGGAATAATTATAAATTGAATTGATGTTGGAATAATCCTAGTATCTTTTTTAAATTCATCAATAATAATACTCGTTGCATTCTACTATTATATAATCATTTAGTTTAATATTATTTTGTAACTCTGTATTCATATGAAATCAAGTAATATATATATTCTTATTATCATTCTTATTTCATTCTCAATTTTACAATTATTATTGGATTATTTCTTTTATATTTATATTTACATCCCTTTTTTTTCTTCTACTAATATGAATCTTATATTTTCTTATTTGTTTTAACCTTATATTTTCCTATATATTTTAACCTTAAATTTTCTTAAAAATGATACGTTAAGAAATTAATTATTTAAGAATAGAACAAATTCCACCAATTATAAATTTGTTATGAAAAGATAAAATTCCGCCAATAATAAAATGTAAAATAGTTAAGAAAAGTTTAAATTTCATCAATGATAAGATAGTCGAGAATAAATTAATTTCAACCAATGAAAAGAAAATGTAATTTTACCGTTTAGTATCAACTTAACTTTGAAAACTGTGTGAATATTTAATTGAGTTACAGTTTTCCATGATCGTAACTCAAAATTTTCCAAAACAATTTATATTTGATAAGTTGTTTCAAATAAAACAAAGGCTACTTGTTCATTGACTTAAAAAAAGTTTTTTGAAACTTTTGGTCAATATAATTTTGTTGTTTACTTGTTTGCTTTGTGGTTGTGCTTTTTTAATCATCATTATTAATCCTTTTTATTTGCAACTTTTAGGTTATAATAAGTACTTTAATATTTCTGAATATGATGTACCTTTGGTTCCTGCATATACGTAAATGTAACAAGTTACATTACTTTCTTTTAACTAAATAGTATGAATGGTGGAATATTTACACAAAATACGTGTGACCCAGTTGAATAAATAAGCTAGATAGTAGTCGGAGAGACATTGAAATACAGTTGAGGTTCTGCCAAGACTATATTTGGTCAAATCGTGTCCAAAGTAGAATTTTAAACTCGTCATACCAATGTTTTGTGCTCAAATACACTACTTAATCTATTTTGCAGCTAAAGTCTAGCATAACAAATATTTTGCCATTATTATATGCAGATAAAGTTTTCCATTCAAGATTATTTTGTATACCTTTTTCTTCTGTAATTGATCACCAATTTCTACTTTTACCCATACAAAAACTACTTTTATCCATGCAAATGTAGGACTATTTATTTATTTATTAACAACCGTCAGAATTCTAGTTTCATTATCAGTTGAAAAAAATTTGTGAGACATTTCACCCACTTGAGTATTGGATTTACCTGAGTTGACTACCTGAGACGCTTTTCCAACCCAATGGACAGATTAATCATTTTATCAAACTTGAGACTCAACCCTTGACTAACTGACTGGACTTTGATTTAAATTAGACACTGGAGCGAAGCAAATGAGATTTCTTGGTGGTTTGAGTAATTGACTGACTACCCTTTTTGACTTTGATACTTGAAATACCTGATTGGGTGTGGGCAGGTTGAATGGTAGAGATGGATAGTTGATTCTAATGCAACTTTGATTTGTCGATTTCAAAACATCTGCAGTTACAATTGATCAATAAGAGATTCAACTAATTTGATATTATCAATGCATCAATCAAAGATCAGACTAAAACATAGCAATGGTTCAAAGAACAGGACAAGACCCGACTGATACTGATTTCCACGGAACAAGACTAGACTGTAGCAGACTTTTACTGGAGACAAAAGCAGGCTAAAATCGACCCAAACAAAAGAAGTCGTGAACCAAGCTAAAGCTTCACAAAAATTCCCCTCAAAGAAATGGTCAAAAAATTCATATTTAAAAGCAAAAGATCAATAGAATCCTACACATTCAATATTCAAAGACTGACAGCTTAGACTTTAAGACAAGAAAAATTACAAATTGTTTCAGGAGATGCTACCAAACTATTATTTAAAGTTTTGTACAATTTACACGCAAAAACACTGCAAATATAAAAACATATTAAGATATTTACAACCAAAAAGGTGAAGTGTAAATTAACAAGCACAACAACTCAGTCATTACGAATTTATCAACAATAACTAATAGATTTCAGAGTTGATGAAAAATTTTTCGTATATATTGAGAAAATTGCAACAACTAATGTCATGGAGATCAATTGAATAGGATTATAAATTATAAATTCAAGCTAAAAAATAGACAATAGTAAATATGATTAATTAATACATTAGAACAACTAAAGTAAAATAATTTAGCAAGTATTTGATCAACAGATACCTAATTTTTATGACGTACCTTTAAAAATTCTCAAATGGGGGAGTTTACAGCTGTCAACAAATTATTGTTGCAAAATTATTGAACATGTACCAGCAGAGCTTCAGCAGTAACATAATATGATACAAATATAAGCTTTAGTGATGCATACATGTTGCCAATTGGTTCTTGATGGTACTCAGAGTTCTCAATATGGCTAGAAAGTCTGTAAATCTACCCCCTAAAAATATTTGAGGGTTTTCTAATTTGAGCCCGGACATTTCACTTTTTTTCAAGCATTGTTTTTTATTTTATTTTCAGATACCCTTTCCCCTTCTCTTTATAATGCAATAGGTCTTATTGAAGGATCTCCTCTGGTCGTTGAGATATCAAACAAAACGTCTAACTCGCTCAATTGAGCAGCTACAGGTTTGAAAGCAGCACCAAAAGTTAGATCTCAATTTAGCTAAGATAATCCACATGCCAGATTGTGAACAACTGCAGCGGTTTATGAGATATAGGCTGTTTTAGTAAATGCCAATTTTAAGGTCAAAATGACACAAAACCCTGTTTATAGCTCCGCTCACGTGCTATAATTTTTAATTATGAAGCTCAAATATTGGATTATCAACAAATTACACGTATAATCAGATCAAGAATCAAGGTAGGTCCTGACTTAAGTGACTTTAAAATATAACCTGGCTCTGAACGAGGCTAGTTTAGTCCAAACTCAACCTAAAGTAGGTCGTTTCAAGTCTCTATATTTATATTTTTTATCTAAAATTCACGACTTCGTTTTGCAATAATATTTTGCAGCATAACAAAGATTTAGCCATTTAAATATATACAAATCAATCTTTTTATTTTTTTATTTTTACTATTTTTGCTTCTCTAATTGATCACCAACTTCTACTTTCATCCATACAAATACTACTTTTATCCATACAAATGTAGAACTATTTATTTATTTATTTACTACTAACTTCAGAATTCTAGTTTCATCATCAATTGAGAATTTTTTGTGAGACAATTCGCCCACTTAAAATTGGGGACTATCTATTCGACTACCTGATACATACCTCCGACCAAAGAGACAAAATAACAGTTTTATCAAACTTGAGACACAACTTAGGAGACAAATTTAACTGACTGACTGGATTTCGATTTGAATTAGACACTGTGGTGAAGCAAGTAAAAGTTTTGAAGTTTTGAATATTTAACTGACAACCGTTTTTGACATTGATACTTGAGATACATGACTGTGAGTGGGCAGGTTGATTGGGAGAGACGGATAGCTGATTCAAATTCAACTTTGATTTGATGAGTTCAACGAAGTCGCAGCAACAATTGATTAATAAGAGATCCAACTAATATGATATTATCAATGTAACAATCAAAGATCAGATTAGAACATAGCAATGATACAAAGAACGAGACAAAAACAGACTGACATTGATATCTGCAGAATAAATCTAGACTATAGCAGACCAAGACTTAGAAGCATACCAAAATCGACCCAAACTAGACAGCCCCGCACCAGCCAATTCCTCACAAAAATACCCCTTAAAAAAGAGTATCACGTGATCCTCACGTTTTGGATCACGCTAGTAAATTTTTAATCATATCACAATTATTTTCAAGATTCAAATTATATTTTCATTTATACTCCCATAATACAAACCAAATCAAGAATGAATAAATTAGCTCAAAAACCAACAGATACAAGATCCACCATTTTAAGAAGATATGGATTATTTGCATCAATAGCAATAGCTTTATTTCTTATAGGTAAAAAACATATAGCATACAAAAAGGAACAACGTCATAAATTAGAAAGTGATTCAGATATAGATAATTCAGATAATGAATTTAGTATTGGTTATAAGAGACCTGGATTTCCAGAAAATAATCCAAGTTTAAATTATGATGATATTAATAGACAAAGTAAATATATTGGAAGTGGTGATGCTTATAGTTCTAGACGACCTGGAGATAGATTAAGTTTATATAATATATTAAAACAAAAATATTGGCCTGATGATAAGGAAAAAGAAGCTCAATATTATTCACCAACTCTGGAAGATAAAATTATTAAATAATGAGATGGAAATTATAAATAAATAACAAGAAAAGATCAGAATTTTAATGCCCAGAAGTTACCTATTATTAAAAAAGTCATGTAAATAAATAAATATCCAAGTAAATATTTAAAAAATGTATCTATGAATTAACTAATTCATTAAATGCAATTTCATAAATCAAATTATTTTTCAAAAATAAATCAATACACCAACCACACAAGAAATTATCTTCTAATTCTTGTAATATCATAATAATGTTTGATTTAATTTGATCATCAAAATTAAATAAATTAATTAATAATAATTCAATTCCTTTATTTTTATCAAATATTGTTAAATTACCTCCGTGAGCTGTTGAACTTTGTAAACTTGTTGAACTACTTGGTGGGATTAAATAAGTAATTAATAAAAAAATCTCCAAAGATTTCCCACTTATTAAAAATTTTAAAATATTAAACCATATTTCTCTTTCATTTATTTTAGTACTTATTGATACATTACTTAAACTTTGTAAATGATAATGTAAATCAATCATTAAACTTAACTCATTAGATAAATTGGGTAAAATTAAATTATAAATTAATTTTTCATTATATAATAAATCTTGAAATTTTTTTGAAATTAATTGATAACATGATATTTCTAAAAGTTTTGTACTATCACTTGGCCAAAAATATCCTATTCCATCAAGCAACAAGATTAAATCTTTATTATTTGGAATTAAATTATTATTAAAATTTTTAGAACTTAATAAAATTCTAATAATTTCATTAATATGTCTTCTAAAAATTAATTGAATAGTAGTTAAATCATCATTATAATTAAAAATTGATAATTGTAAATTTGATAAAAATCTTGCATCTTCAGAAATGATTGAATTTTTGATTAGTCCATCACTTGAGGTTTCAATATTTGAACTTATTATAAATTCATTTGAATCTAAATCATATAATAAATCCCATAATTTATCATTGTTTTTGAAAAATGGATTTATTGTACCAGCAATAAAACTATCACATTCTTCTAATAATTCAATTTTGGAAACATCAATAATGGGGAACACATTATAGTTAGTTAAAAGTCCACTCAAAATCCCACCACCTGTTATAAGTTTAAGTATTAGTAGTATATGATCAATTATATATCCTGAACTATTTTCATAACTCATTAATAATATTCTTTTCCCCGTTAGTATAGCGTTAATTAATATAATTATTGGTGGTGTTTGTAATCCATATATTGTCAATTCATTGTTTAGTACCGAGCTTGATAATTTACTATTTAAAATATTTATTAAATTTGGTTTGAAATTCAAATCAGTTGGATTTAAATAATCACCAATAGTATCAGGTAAATTTATCATTGGAATTCTAATTGGTATATTCATTCCATTAAAATTTAAAATTGAATTAAAACTTAAATCTTTTCTTATAAATAAATCAGGATTTATAATTTGATTCTTACCAATTCCCAAAATTTTATTCCTAAAATTTTCATCATAATAAATTTTATCATTAATAGGTAGATCCAATATACTTGTAATTAATAATTTTTTAATTAAACTTATATCACCATTTTCAGTTCCATTTAAAGAGTCACGACTTACTACAAAACTCTTTTCATTTATACTTGTATATAATTGTTTAATAATATTATAATCATTTTCTTTAAAATATAAATCCAAACAAATCATCATGACTGGTTTGAAATTTTTGAAAAATGATAATTTAGTAACAATTGATAAACTTTTAACTTGTGACCCTCGTTTATATTCATCATTATGTAAATTCAATACTATAGTATATAAAAAATAAGGTTCTGATTCACATGTGTTTTTATTATAAAGATATTGGAATTCTCCAGTTGTTAAATTTCTATAAAGTAAAAAAAGTGTATAATCTTCATTTCTTTTATGAATTTGATCTGGTAACATTAATTCTGGTAAAAAATATAAATATTGTAATCCAGGTAATTGATGAGGATATTGAAAAATTAATGAAGGTCCTTTATCAATATGAAACTCAGCCGTTATTATGTATTCAATGCTTGGCATTTTATTCTGTGCATTAATTGAACGAATGTGAATGAATGATGATAATTGAAATGAAAGGTTATATTAGTTCTGATTGTTGAGCCAGGTTATAGTATATTGGTTGCATAAATGTATTTGGTCTCAATTTTTTATAATATGAAACAAATATTATCAAGTAAGAAATAAAACTACATAATTATTTACTTAACATTATCGTAAAAAAATTAGACGAGATTAAAGATAAATTTTATGTATCTTTAACGTTTGTCGTAAATTTATCTTTACTACTTTCGACATTAAAAATATGGTTATAATTTCGTAAATTTTTTATTTGATATGTTATGTTTTAGAATCAACAAAGCTATCAGATTGAACTAAATAATTCATTAGATGGCGACTCGATAGTGAAGTATGTCCTGATGGTTTTTTTAAAATCATTTAATGTGTTGGTTCAAAACTGTCAAATAAATCTTATGTACAGGATAATTCAGGTGCAATATATAAAAATATTAATAAAAAAAAATTTTATTAAAATTAATTGATTATGAAATGCATCCAGCTAGGGTTTGAAATAAATTATGACAAGGTAGACAAACCAAACTTGTAGAGAAGAAAAAATTAAATGGATCATTTTAGGAACTTATATAATTTGAAGATGTGAACTTTCAAATAAATATTACAAATATTTTGTTTGAATTATTGGTTTGAAAACAGAACAGGCTCGTAATTGATAAAAAATTATTTTTCAAATCAATACTACGAACAGCTGTTTTTTTTTCAATATTTTAATTGTTTATTTAAATGTCCATCTGATATACTAAATATAATGAAATAAACTAAATACTAAGAGGAAAAAAGGTTATCCAATTTTGATCGATTAAGTTTTCATAGGTATTCAACCAAAATCCATCTATTTTATTTGTTATATCGATGTTTTAATAATAATAATTAATTAATATTAAATCATTTAAAAACATATTCAAAATTTTGAAAACAAATTAACTGTATAATAAATTTAAATATTCTCACATAAGTAATTACTAATTTTGTGATTTTTAATTTATTAAATTATAAAAAAGGGTCCAATATATATTGAAAAAATAAAAATTATAAATAGACTTGAATTTTTCTCAATTTTTTTTTAATTTTATAATAGTTTCCAATCAAGTTTTTTTGATCATGTGAGTTATTATTTAAATTGAGTTTGATTTCATTGTAAAGTTTTTGTTCAAAAAAGGGGAGAGATCATTCTTTACGAATAAATTATTTTTTTAATAATATCATTTGTTTAGTCTGTGACTTTGAAATTCTAAATTTATCATGATCTAGATATGATACTTTGTGAGTTTTAACCAATTTTCTCCTTTTTTCATTGAATGAAGAAACATCATGGAATATTTTTGTGGCATAAAATTCAGGAATTGATATGTATTTGGGAAGTGCTTTTCTATATGTACTTTTAGTGGATATGTCGTTAATAAACGATTTTACTACTGTATTATGTGTATTTTTAATTTGTTAAATTACTATAAATTGTAGATTTTGATCTCTTAACAAAATGTTTTGGAAAGAGGTTGTTAGGACGTGCTCTACTTTGTTTATTACAACAATCTTAGATAAAAAATCTTTTGACTTACTCCTTATTCTATAATCTGTAAAATTTATTTGGTACATGTGAAGATGTAAATTTTTGTTTGTTAAAATTTATTTATTGTTCGTACGTATGTTTTTTTAACAAATGATGTCAAGTATGTATGTGTATTTCTTTAAATCTATTTTAACATTCAATGGTCTCTACAACCTTTTAATCAAAACTTGTTTATTTGGAGACTATAACAAAGTACTATCAGATAATTGAGAAATCTTTCAAATCTCAAATGTTTCAAATTGGAGTCGCTTTATTTTCGATCAAATTGTCATTCGCCACAAGACACTGAATTTAAGTCAAGCTCACCGATTAACTCATATACAAGAATATTAGATCTATTTTCACAATTATAGATTCTTTTAATTGTAATTACTATTTAGTGAATGAACTTTCGAAGAGGTGCTAATTTGTGAGATTGTGAGTTTCTGTATTTACAAGTATGATAATCGTCATATACAATTCCGAGGATTTTTATTATAATTCTACTGTTTAAAAATTTGTTTCAGAATTTAATTAATTAATTTGTTTCTTCACGATTTAGATTAAAATTATTTTTATTTTATTTTCACCCCTCAAATTTCATTACATATTAATTTAATTACTACTGCCCGTTTTAAATTTATTATAAGTATTTCTTTATATAGTATTTTAATAAGTTTAAAAAATTTTTATAAATAGATAGGAAATCTCCCCTCAGTTTATTCTAGACAAAATTTTTTTTTCTTGCTTGATGTATCGTCATCCAATTAAGAGATCCGGTTTTTTTTTTCTAATTGATGTATTTTTCAATTGATGGACGTGCTGATTGATACTCAATTTAGTTAATTGTACGAAGTTTTTGTTTTACGAGTTAAATTTCAAATTTCCAACTGAGTACGAGTTCAAGTTCACACAGGTTCATTCTTTACGAAAAATATTTTATTTAATATAATTTTGAATTGTTTGAATTCAAAACTTACTAATTTTCAACATCATATTTCAGTTATGTATAATGTTAAAAACTTGGAGTTTTGTTGTGAACTGGAATAACTCAAACGATTTGTATCAGCATTGCATTTTTATTGATCATAAAAAACTAAAACTTTGTTTCTAACGGTTCCTTTATCTGAATTTGGTAAATTTAATGTTCCAAAATAAGTATTAGATCAAGTTTACACAAGATTCATTCTTTACGAAAAATATTTATTCAATATTATTTTGAATTGTTTGAATTCCAAAATTACTAGTTTTCAACATCATATTTTGATAATGTTGATAATGTAAAATGTCAAAAACTTGAAGTTCTGTTGTGGTTTGGGTTAAGTTATGTTATTTATTTTATTTCTGTCCGCGAAGTCTAGGTGTATTGTATTAATCTCGATGTTAGTTGAGTACTATTTATGGATTGTTGAATATGTCTTTAATTTAACATATAATATATATCAATGTGTATGTGGTAAGACTTTACTATATCATATTTTATAAATTTTTAATATATTTTATTGTATTTTGTATTTTGTATTAACTAATATTGGCCAAGTGTCAGATTGTAGAGTTTTATGAATTCTATCCTTTTATTCTTCTTCGTTTTTCTCTCTGTTCATTAGAAGAAGGCACCTTTTTTTTAAAGGTCAATCATTATTCAACATGTGCCAAGAGGCTAATAGAGAGTAAAAACTTGTAGGAGTTGACTTCAAAATAAAAATCAAAGTTTTTTGTGTTTGAATTAATGGTTGGAAGAATACAATAGACTTGTAATTGATAAAATACATTGAAAAAATCTTTCAATTGTATATTGATCGTCCATCCAACTTGCCAAATTTAGTGTGATACATTAAATCTGAGAGGTAGAACAGTTATTTAATTAGACTCAATTAAGTTATCATTACTTTTCAACCGAATTCCATGTTTTCACTTTCTCCGTCGTTGTAATAACTTAAATAATGTTGACTTGATTAGAAACATACTCAATACTTTTAGAAATAAATTATTTACAGATAAATTTGAGGAAATTTTGTATTACGATTGTTAGACTTTAGGTACGAAATTTAATTTGTTACCTCAATTCCTATTTTCTATATATCCTTGTTCTGACAGTTATATACTAGTCTCTTCTTATCTTGCTTGCATTATGCTTTTCTTTTTCTACTTGGAAAATTTCCCATCTTTCCTGTAATATCTTGATTTTAATCTTGCTATATCTATTGTTCACAAACTTTAATATTTCATTAAAATCAAAAATATTCCCCTTAAATAAATAAATTATTTAATTTTGTGATTTATTTTTTATTAAATTTGAAAAAGGAGTTAAAAAAATATTTGAAAAAATAAAAATTATAAATAGAATTGATTTTTTCTTAAATTTTTTAATTTTATAATTTAATCTCTAATAAAGATTTCATGAAGATTTAACAATTTCAAATATGTTTAGTGATAAAGTATGTTGCGGAAATCGATTTTATACCATCACAAGATTTGAAATTAACTGTTTTTTGATAGTCAGCTCATATTGAAATCTATTGGTAATAAATGTGATTGCTGGATCGGGGTACTTCTTCTTAGATATAAGTTCATAATAATAAAATAAAAGGAGAGATCATTCTTTACGAATAATGTTATTTTTAAATAATATCATTTTTTAGTTTGTGACTTTGAAATTTCAAGATTTATCATAATTACATATCATGATATTTTATGAGTTTTCACGAATCTTCATTTTTCTATCTTAGTGAACGACTTAACCTTGGAATAAAATTTTTTAAAATGATATAAAGGATATGAAACTTCTTAGTTCAGTGATAGTGGTGGGGAGTGTCCAATTTTTTATTGCTTCATATTTTTTCTGGAGCTGGGTGATATTCCTTCCTTGATAATATGTGATATTAATAAACGATTTTAATATTGTATTATATGTATTTAATTTGTTAAATTACTATAATTTGTAGATTTTGATCTCTTAACAAAATTTTTCAAAAAGAGGTCGTTAGGCCGTGCTCTACTTTGTTCATTACAACAATTTTAGATAATAAATCATTTGACTTACTCCTTATTTTAGAACCTATAAAATTTAATCAACACTTGTGAAGTCTTAAAAATTTAATTAAAAATTTAGAATTGTTATTTTTATAAATTGATATCTACTATTGACATCTTTTCAAAAGTCTTAATCTTAAGCAAAGATACTCTTCGTTTTTATGCTTCAAAGCGCTTCAAGTCTAAGACTTTCTATTGTTGGTGCTTTTTGCTTTATGGAAATTTGAAACTCGTTACAGAAGTACATTTCTTTTAAACGATTAGATTAGCAAAGTTATTATATACTTCGTTTGAATTGGTTTTTAAGAAAACTTGAGCTCTCTTACTATCTACATGATGACTCCATTTCGATTCAGTGTCA